CACGTTTTGACCTAATAACATTAATGAAAATGCTTAAGTACACCAGTCCTTAAAACATTACTTGAAAAAAATCATTACTATCAGATGATTCCTCATTCACTCCACACTAATTTATGTACGAATTTCTCTACTAAGTTTCTTCCTTCCATAATAAAGCCAGAGATTTTCTTTGTGGCACTGCATCTCAATAGAGGATTTGATTTAAATACATAATCTAATCAAATATATATCTAATACATATGATATATCTATATAATCTAATCTATATAATCTAATACATAATATAATTTTTAGATTAAAATGTGTAATACAACCAGGTAAATCTGACAGCATGTTTTTAATCCTAGACTGTGTTTTATGTCGTGTGCCTGAATTTGCAATTACTTTCCTATATGCAGGACTTCAGAATGGATTAAATATTCCATTTGTCATGTTCCAGTCACAGCACCACCCTCGACTTGAGCGACTTGAAAATATTCAGTCATTTCACTGTTTAGTATACTTAATTTTATTTTTACCTGAACATTGATTGATCTCTTTTTTTATAACCTTATTATTGTTACTTGCTTCCTATTCATCCCTCGTGCAGTACATTCATGCTCAAAGTAAATTTGAGAGCTAATGGTTGCCCAGTAGGCTGTTCACTACTTTCAACATTTTTAAAATGTGTCAGATACCCATCTATATAAATCAGTGCACTTCCTAAGTCAGTAAAAATTCTATAGCTTTTACTGTGAAATCATATTCTATATTGACATCTCTCCAAATTGACCACCGATTAACTTCAACATAAAATATGCAACCTCTGGAGTTTTTAATATAAAAATCTTTACACTGTTATTATTAGAATAAACTACACTTAATATAAAACAAATGCCCATAGTTTCCTCTGGTGAATAAAGAGCACAAATATCTGCAGGTAATTATGCCAGTCACATTACTTAATAAGCTTGTGCAAGTCATTTGGATACTGTGGAGATGGAGACTGTAAAAGAACCTGATTAGAATAAAATACTATTAATTAAGCCTCATAATATACTGAAAGATAGGCAAATTATATGACTTTATAGCAACAATACAAATTGTCTTGTTCAATGTCACATTGCCTCAGGGGAATGATAATTTCCACTGAATTAACCTACAGTTTTCAGGTGGGCTTCATCTGGGGGAAACACAAAAGTTCCATCTCCTCCTGAAGAAGAGAGCAAAATATCTTTTGTCTTTTATTAGTCATAGTGCTCAAATATCTTTAGTGCCCTCTGGTGTGCATTTCAGTGATCAATACATGCATAAAAGGAAAGATAATTGGCATCGATCTGAATAAAACTTCAGTTCATCTTTCTGCCTACTTCTAAACAAGCTTTCAACTTCCTAGAACAATCAGAAGACACAGTTAACATCTCCATGGCATTTATTGACCCAAAGCACCAGTTGAAAAGGTAGGTTCCAGCAACTATCCTAAATATAAACATTAACAGAAAATATAGAATTTGGCTCTCTGTAAATTCAACTGACACCATGAATTCAGTTCTCCTCACCTCTTACAGTCTCTCATTAGAGTCCAATAACACTACCAGAGCCTATCCTTTTTGACTTCAACAATACTGTGGTATTTTTATCTAAAAAGAAACCCAAGCAGCTTCTAAAAAGAAACCCTCTGAAAACAATTTCTACTTTTCCACTTCCTCATCCCTTTCATCTCTTCCTGCTTGAACAGAGGGATTTTACAGGAATAAGCTGTATGACCACTTTACTGTTTCTCCCACTGCTGACAACTTAAATAATTTGTTCTTTGCACCAGAAATCTTAGGATACAGTCTCATACTAGTCTGTATCCAACATAACTCCAAATCCCACGTGCTAGATCTAGCAAGTCTAGAAAATTAGGCATTAGAGAAATCAGAAGAGCAACCTGAAAAAGAAGAAAGCTGCTGATTTTTATTTTTCAATGATGCTTATGCTGTCCCAGTGACTCACAGCTGGCAACTGCATGATTGTGAGATCTTATGCAAAGGAGATGGCATGGGATACCTTGGGGGAAAGAAGTTTGTCAGCAGCACAACATGACACTGAATGAGCTGTAACAGTGACTGATCAAACCAGAAATCCAGTTTTGGGCTCCCCAGTAGAAGATAGACATTGATATACCAGAGTGATTCCAGCAGACAGCTCTCCAGATGATCACAGGACAGAGCACATGATGCACTGGGAGAGGTTGAAAGAACTGGGTTTAGGTTTGTTCAGCCTTCAGAAAGCTTTGGTAGCATCTTGCTGCTGTCTACAACCATGAAACAGGAAAGTGTAGGTAAGAGAGACAAACTCTTTCAAGTGGTCTGCAGAGGTTGTAAAATTTATATATTTGAAGGTATTCAAAACTCAGCTGCACACAATCCTGAGCAATATGCTCGAAGCTGCTTTGAGCAGGAGGCTCGACTTGGTGTTGTCCAGAAGTCATTCCTAACATCCTTTAGTCTATACATTTATTAAGTGCAGCAAATATTTTCAAACAATCATACCAAAATGATTCCTACTGAATTTTTTCTTTTGAAAAAATTACTAGAATTTGAATATCAAACCACAAAGTGCTTCAATTTGCACTTTTTAAAATTAAGAACAAAACCTTACTCAAGGAAAAAATTCCATTTTCATCACTCACAAGAAGTAACACCTTTGAGATGCTCTTACTCAGCTGAGACATTTCAAACAGCACATGCTCATCCACAAACCAGTGCCCTTAACAGCTGATGAAAATCATCTTGCCTCCTGGAGTGATCAGGACTGCTGGATCTGCCCCTCACTGAATTTTGAACAAAGCATAGCATGGACAAATCCATCCATTCAGGCAGATACTGCCAGCTACCACTGGCCAGATGTAAAAGACTGTGGTTATAATAACAGTGAAATAACAGGATCAGCTGGAGAGGCTCAGAGAATGGCAGATTGCTGACAGAACTCCAAAGTACAATATCTGCCCTGCACACAGCACGTTGTCTCTCAGCAACTGTGCCTCACAGCTCAGAGAGAAGCAGGCCAGGTATCCACACATGCCAGCCACAAGAAGCCAAATCTCAGCTGAGATGTAGCATGAGTTGGGAGCCAAGAACAACTAAACTGAGTGCGACAGGACCTGATTCACAAATCACATTTGCCTGGTGCCCCACTTATGTATAACAATAATTTAGCTGAAAATAGAACAAAAAATAGCCTTAACCAGCAACAATGAGAAAAATAAATAAGGTAGCCTTCAAAATTCATTTAGGCATAGGTAAAAAAGTAACCCTCAGGGAAGACTTTCTGGAGTGTAATCTTAATTTTTCAAATGTACTTGTACCAATATCTCTGCATGCTTTGATCCTTCTCAGTTTCATATGCTGTTCAGTGGGGAATTATCACAAGAGCACAAATCTACTTCTGACAGGAGCAAAGCTAGAAGTCAGATTCCTATTTATACTGAGATCATTCTTGCATCTGTGACATTTTGGGACGTTTCCAAGGGGCTTCAGCATATAAATGATCTCTCTTGTTATCAGTACAGGTAGCATCTGAAGCTGAAACTAGATCTAACCGCTACATTTAAAGCCATGGTACCTAACCCTATCCAAAACTACCTCAAGTGAAGAAAACCAACATACTATGAAACACAAAGAAATTTGATTGGGAGCTAAGGAATGGTAAACACAGTGGTATTTACACCAAGAATTGGCTCTGACTCACACTGTGCTCATCACATGGCCAAAGCAGCAATTACCACTCCAGCTTCCAATCCGCTTTGCCCATGACAAAAAAGTACTGTGAATAACACATGCCTACAGTTTCTGCAACAGGGTGTAAGGAATGCTGAAAATCTTCAAGAGCTTACTTCCAGAGGTCAGACTGAAACTTTGGAGGCTGTTTCACCTGTCATTCAGACAAGGAGGACTTAAGTATGTCATAAACAGAAAACGGGTCGGTGCAGGTGGTAACCACTTCAGCCATTCTTAGTCCAAATATTAACTGGGGACACCTTCAGCTACCCAGTTTTAACTCCCCCTGGCAGGGCGTGCACTGCTCTCCTGGCTGCGTGACAGCAGCCACAAGACAGAACAAGCAGGGCCCTGCGCTGACCTGCCTGCCAGAGACCATTCCCTCGCTTAAGTTTGCAGAGGCAGACACAAAACGAAAATAAGAACTTTAAAACCTTCTTTTTCTCAGTTCTTGGGATGTTTTGAATGATAAAAAAAGACCCAGATCTCAACACACGAAAAGAAAAGTAAGCCGTAGTTTTTGACAAGCTGAAACCCTGCCGAGGCAGCAGCTCCGGGCAGAGCCGAGCTAACACGCCCGGGGGGCCGGGACATCCCCCTGGGCTGTGGGGCGGCCGCAGCCCCGGGACCTGTGGCGGCGGCAGCGGGGGAGACGCTACTTACAGCCCTGGTCTCGTACAGCACCAGCTTCTGCACGGAGCTGATCAGGGGAGCGGCGGCCACCACCGGCATGGCAACCCCGAGGCGCGGCGGGGGCTGCCCGGGAACACCCCAGGAGCAGCCGGAGCCGGGGGGAAACACGCCGGGGCTGAGCGGGGAATCACCGCCGGCACCGAGGGAACCCGGAAGTGCCGCCGCGGCAACGCGCAGGCGCGCCCACGGGGGGCCGCGAGAGCGCGCCTGCGTCGCGGAGTCGCGTCACGCGCGGCCTCCCGGCAACGGCGGCTCGGGAGCGGCGGCGGCAGCGGCGAGGCACCGGGGCGGGCGAGGCGGCGGCAGCGCCACCGCATCCGCACCCGCTGCTCCCGCCGATCCCGCCGGGAACCGCTCCCCGCGGGGTGAGCACGGTCAGCACCAGGAACAGCTCCGAAGCCCCGCCCACGCCGCTGTGTGGGCTGGCCCACCCTCAGGGGGCGGAGCCAAGGGCAGGGGCGCGGCGCGTCCGTTGCCCGGGCAGCGGAGGCGCGCAGGGCGGTGGCGGCTGCGGGGGCGCGCACGACAGGGCTCCCACCGGGACATCATTCTGGGTGTGTGTAGAGGTGGGCGTGTGCCCCTAGTTTAATTCTTTGCTTTGGTTCTGGTGTTTTTTGTCTATTAGGAAATAGACCCTTGTGAAGGTTTGAGAAGGAGCGAGACTGCTGGGAACTACAGGTAAAGCTCAGCCGGTGAGTTTTCTGTGGGGGCAGTGGGGAGTTGGTTCGCATGTAATGGCTTTTTTCTTTTTTGATTTTAAGATGTTTAAGGCAAGAGTGCCTGAACATTTGGGTTTGATGTTTCAAAACAAACTTTTTCAGATTCTTATCCTGAAGTAGATTTTTTTTAGTTGAAGTTTTTAATTTAACTAAAAACTGACTGGGAGGTGTGTGGGGCTGTGCTGGGTTGGATGGTTGCATGTGGTTTTGCTGGGGCTGTGAGATTGGAGTGGCCCTCTAAAGACAGTGAGGTTTTGTTTCGCCTTTTCCAAGCAAACTTCAGTAAGCTCTCCATGTTTTGGCCTCCATTTTGTTTGAAAGGTCCACACAAATTTTCCTCCAACTTACCTTAATTAGAAATTTGTTTAGGTTTTAATTTGTTGTGCAGCACTGGACTTGCTACTGCCTGCATTCCTGGAAGAGCTGGTATTTGTGAGAGGATGGTGGAAGAGATGATGAACTGTGATTTAATTCCACGGAATGTTATTCGTGTACCTGCCTGTGTGGACACTGGGTTCCATTGACCATGACAGGGCCCTTCGGTATCTGAAGCACAAAACCAAAGCTCTTGGCAGGCCCATGGCTCATTTCAGGGACCAGAGAGAAGTCACAGTCATGTGGTAATTGGAGCAGGAAGGAAAAATCACCAAAACAACTACAAAAGAGCAACAAGCAATATGAGAGTCATGAGGAAGTCATCAACAGCTGGTGACCAGGGGTTGTTCCAATAGTCCTTTGTTTTTCAGAAGAGGGTTTTCTCTCATTTGATGGGTGTGTTGTGTATGTTCTCTAAATACTTTTTCTTCTTATGAATGCTTTCTTTTTTACAAATCCATTTACCTTGTAATTCAGTTCCATTTTAAGGTCATTTTACGCACACATAACTACTGTATTTTATAACAAATTCTTTTTCTCCTTCTAGCCTTAGAAAACACATGGATTCACAAGAGCAAAAACAAGCTCAGCCCTTTACAGACATCTTTGATGAAGATGAAGCTGAAAGATCTTTTCTGTTGTCCAAGCCCACTTGCTTAATTGTCTTTGGAAAGCCAGTAAGAAGTCTGATATAAGGGTTTTTTCCAGATACACTGCTAACAATTTTACTTTTCCTTTCAAAACATTAGTTTACCAGTACTACCAAAAGGGTCATATACCTAGTTTTTTACTTTGGCCACTCTTCAAATCCTGCACAGAATGGTAAAAATTCTTGTCTCATTAAATGAGACCAATTTTTGCCTTCAGTGTTCATCAATCGTGGTTAAAAATGTTATTACTGTACTTAAAAGTTAGACGTTGCTCAAAATGTTTCTTCTTTTTTGACATTGACAACTGGATTGTTTTTGTTTTTATTTTTCTGGTAGTTTAATCCCAGCCAGCAAGCAAACCCCATGCAGCCTCTTGCTCACTCACCCTGGTGGGGTGGGACAGAGAACCAGAAGGGTAAAAGGGGTAAAAATGCAGGGGTTGACAAAAGCCATGCACACAAGTGAAACAAAACAAGGAATTCATTCACCACTTCCTATGGGCAGGCAGATGTTCAGCCATCCCCAGGAAAGCAGGGCTCCATCATGCTTCATGGTGACTTGGGAAGACAAATGCTATGACTCCAAAAGTATTTCCCTTTCCTTCTCTTCCCCAGTTTTCTATGCAGAGCATGATACCACGTGCTTTGGAATAGCCTTGTGTGTCAGTCAGAGTCAGCTGTCCCAGCTGTGTTCCCTCCCAGCTTCCCATCCACCCTCATTTTCCTTACCAGTGTGGCAGTATGGAAAGTAGGAAAGGCCTTGGCTCTGTGTAAGCCCTGCCCAGCAGTAACAGAAACATCTCTGTATTATCAACACTTGTTTTCAGCACAAATCCAAAACACAGCCCCACACCAGCTACTCTGAAGAAAGTTAACTCTACCCCAGCCAAAACCAGAACAATGCTATTAAAATATTTTCGTTTTTAATTAACTTGACATATTAAAGACATAAATTGGTGTAAAAGAACCTTCAGGTCAATGTACTGACTTACAGACATGCAATGAGATATTACAGATCTTAATATTAAAACTTTGACAAAATTCTGTCCTGTGTATTTTGAAACATTGAAAATCCACCAAGGTGTCCTGATAAAAAGACCTGTACTACATTTTAACTATAATTCAAGGTCTGTCTTTTTCTCAACTAATTTGTGGCCTCCTTAACTTAGAAAAGTTTGATATTTTTTAAACCTAAACTTTTCAGATTTCTTTTTTTTCCCCAAATGTGGGTTTGCATTATTGCCTCAGTTTGCTGAAGGGAGTTTGGTTTTTTTGGTACAAGTTTACCTTATGAGTATATGCACTTGTAAGAGTGCACTCAGCTCAACAGAAAACTACAGTGAACTAACCCATCTAGTTTTAAATGAACATCAAAATTCTAACCTTCCGTGCACAAGATGACTTTATGTTTTATAGACCAAATCACCATAAAATGTTTGTTGGAAGACAGTACAAAAAAATTCTCATATTCTCAACCAGTGCCTTCAGTTGATGCTTGACATTAGTATAATAAAGGATTGAAATTGTACAGACCTTACTAGGAAAACATGGAATGAAACAGTTTATTTTTATGGTAATATCTTTTATATATGTGACTGATGTGCAGAGTGTCTGTCCTATTTAAGATATACCTTTTAAATTAAAAACATCGTGCCATTAAAGCAAAGCCAAATACATACATTCTCATCACACCTGTAAGATGTAAGGTAGGAGTAGGCTGGAGTGTTTGTTGACTCTTAACTGGGAATGTCATTTATTTGTGGAATTCGCTATTTTTTACCACACTATTTATCAAGGAAAAAAAAACAAGAACAGATCTTATTTGCCCTTCTAAAAAGAAGGCACAATCCTAAAGGTGGAAGATGGTGAGTTTTGCAAAATCCTGTTCAGTTAATCACTCTTGAAAGCCTCATAACTTTCAGTTATGTTGGTTTTCCTCTGGATTCATGGATATAATAAAGACTTTTTCAGTATCTAACCAGATCTGTGGTTAAATCTAACTAATCTTGGACTAATCTAACAAATCTTGAACTAACAAGGGCAGTTTTTACGTATTTGTTGTTTTAGTAAAAAAATATTATCCCGATGTATCCTACTCAGAAAGAGTTGAGTAGGTTTGTATCCTAATTTGCTTTGAGGCTGAAGATAATAAATTTTAGTCTTAAGGAGTTTCTCATAGGAATTTGTGGTCAAATCATAGCTGTGTTTTAGACAGTTACTCAGAAACAAACTCAATATGATGACTTTGGAGATAATTAGCTACAAGCAGCCACATATTAGCAATGCTAGGCAATATGAAGTAGAGGATGATATTAAAAAGAGTGTTTTGGTTTTGCCCAATGTATAAATCCCACTGGTAGATTTTCATTGTTTTTATCATGTGAAAATACTATCTTCATTGTGTTATATGTTTGGTTTTGTTCTGTCTGTTTTTCTTTTAAAAGTGTATTTTTCATTTTAAGGGTTCTGGAAAGAAAACGTTAGCTAGAAAACTAGCACAGAGATGGAACTGCATTTTCATAGAAGGTAAACACCTATTTATATATGTGCTCATAGAAGGTAAGCACATGTGCTATATTTGGAGCATTGCTTTGGCTTCACAATAGCTTTTAGTTTAGAATACCCTCATTCTTCACTATAATTCAAAGGGCATGTTTCTGATTGCAGCAAACACCAAGTAACCATTTTACCAGAAATAAAATTGCTGATTGTGGTTTTTTAGTTAATGAAAGGCTTAGAAAAATCACTGGGTTTTTTTTGTTTTTTTAATCTAAATTCTGTTCCCAATCCTGTAAGGGGATTCATGTGACCCTTCTCATTCACATGGGGCAACTCATGCTCATTCAACTCCAAAGAGTACAGACATTTTCCAGTGCAGACCATGAAAAAATTGGAGGGGCTTTCCTTTCTGTTTGTGCAGTGTCCAATCCAGGAAACAGAGTTATTTATCAAATGAAGTACTTTACTTCTTTTGAAGATTTAGAATTGTAACATGGTAAAAATCACTTTTAAAAAAGTGCTTTTTTGACTTAGGCATATATAGAATTTTTTATTCATAGTATTGTATAACAAGAAATAAAATTAATACCTGGTCCAAAACATAGATCAAGCCAAAATCAGAAGAGACTTCAGGAATATAATTAAGCCAGTCCACTCTGTTTAAATGTATTTAAATCAGTACTGACAAATGTTCATCAAATTTGTTTTAAGCAATTTCTAGTCTATAGACTATAGGCAGTCTATCTCTGTAAGACTCTCTTTGCCATCAGAAAGCTTTTCTTAGCAACCGATCTAAATCTCAGTTACTGCATTTTTAAGCCTTATTTCTAATTCAGAGAATTACTGGTTTCTTATGTTTTTAATGATATTTCTGTTAATCTTCTTTTATCTAGTGAATGCACATGTGTGTACATGCTTATTGTTACTTATACTAGTAAATTTTTTTTCATTTTCTACATCAAAAAGGAAATAAACTAAGAAATTCAGCATAGATAAACACAAATAATTTAGTTCAGAAAGGACCTCCAGAGATGACTGAGTCTAACGTTCCACTCAAAGCAGGGTCAGCTAGAGCGGGCTGCTCAGTTGAATCTGGAATATCTCCAAGAATGGAGAATCCACCTCCTCCCAGAAAAGCACTTTGCAATGTTTGACAACCTTCTTGATGAAAAATTGCTTCCTAATTGCCCCATTTGAATTTCTCATGTTCCTATTCGTGTCTGTTGCCTCCTGTCCTAACTGCACTTCTGTGGTGACTGTGGGTCCCTCTTTGTGACCTCCTAATGAGTAGTTTTAGATAGCAGTAAGAGCTGTCTGGTTTCCTCCAGGCTGAAAAAGATCTGTTCTTCTGGACTCTCCTAAGATGTTCAATTCTTCTGATGGTTTTGGTGTCCTCTGCTGAACTTGCTCCAGAGTATCAAAATCTGTCCTGTGCTGGGTTAAAAATAAACCAAGACAGAAAATTATTGAATAGGAAAGGTGTTTGTTATATTTTTAATGATGTAATGGTTTCTATTAGTTTTTCAAGTAAATAGGTCAATACTCACAAGTAAAGCAGGGCCAGGGTGCACACAGATTGCTGATTTTCAGTTGCCTGTATTGTTACATTATCTGTTACATTCCCTGTCTCAGTTTTGGCCCATGGCAAATAATGTACATTCCCTGTCTCAATTTTGTCCCATGGCAAATATTGTTCTCCCAAACACATAACCATAGTATAAAAGGTAGGATGTAAAACAGTCATCATTCCTAGTAGGAACAGTTGGAAAACAGCTGCTGTGTTTTGAGAAGAAAGATTATGGCTGTATAGGCATGAGTCACATGGCTTCAAGACCTTTCCCTGGCCTGGTTTATTAGTACTATAAATGTAGCCTTAAGAGTAATTCTTCAAAACTTTTGTAAAATGTCTGATTATTTAATTTATACAAAGTGTGAAAGACTTCCAGGCTCAATCTACTATGATGTCACTATCCAGAGACATAGAGCAGTCTTTGAATTTGATGGATGTCACTTTTCTTAAAGTAGATGCTTTTGTGTGTCTAAACACTTCTTCTAAGTCTTGGTTTTTAATTTTAAAAAGTGGTTGAGCTCAAATACTCATCTCTGGATTACAAGACAGTAATGCTGATTGAATTTCAATCAGTAATTCAAATAATCCTGCAAAACTGCTGTTGTGCATTTTTGTGTAGTATATACAGGGTTAAATTGTAGAGTGAAACACCTACTCAGACTTTGCCATAAGTCATCAGGTTCTGGATGGGCAAAGTATAATAATGGTCCTAAATATAATGGCTGTTCATTCAAAATAGTCTGCTTGATGCACACATACATCCTCCTGTGTGTGTATGTGTATTAACATATGTATCTGCATGTACAAATCTGTCTAGAAAATATTTTATATTAATTATTTTTCTTATGTTTGATATTCTTCCTTAGCTTCAGAAGTAATTCGAATGAATATTCAACAAGGAACAGAATATGGACTTAAGGTAAAGGTCTAATCTTCGAGTAAGTTTTTTAACATTCTTAACTTACACTTACTATAAAAGACTATGTTTTGCATTTTACCCTAGTGTCAAGAATTGCTTTGTAAAGGTGAAAGTATTCCTGAGGAAGTGGTGACAGAAATGATTCTGCAAAAGATTGAGTCACCAGAAGTTGCTCATTTTGGTATGTTTATAGCCTAAACTTCTTAGAATGTGCTACCTATAATTTTAAATCCATTTTACATCCATTGGTGCTCAAATATAATTCTAGCTTTTTGTTGTGCTCCTAAGGTTGTGGAATATCAATAAACTGAAAGCATGTTAAGGGATTAATTTACCAATGTGAGAGATCAGAAAGTGTCATACCAATCCTATGTTGTGTTGATTTTGAGAAAATAATTTTCCCAAAATTTTAAATGTTGCTATGAGTCTTATTTGACAATATTATCTGTTCAGAAGAATCTTAGGATTTAAAATACAGATATTTTATTCTTCAATACTTATATAACAACAACATAACAAAAATCCATCAACAAAAACATTTTAAACATTTTAAATAATGATAAAGAAGGAAAACAGATTACTGAAAATGCAAGGTATTATGGCTTTTTTTTTCTCTTACAGAATTGTTTATTCCCTTTGCATTTTGTGACACAGAGTAGGATGGATGAGAATAGTAATGGTAGTGGCTGTAATTCTTCTATTTGAGAAAAGATTTTGTTAATTGAGGCTAGCTAGACAAGTGTTGCAGGTCTTGCTAGTGTCTGAACCTATGAGAAAACAAATGAACTGCTAAGAGGAAAGGAAGTAAAAGGAAATGTTCCTCCTTCTTGTTTTGACTTTTATTTGAAATTTCCATTATAGGAGAGAGACAGGTGTAGTGCCAATGTTAGTTTCTACTGTTCTAAAAGCTAGCCTGCTTTTAAGCTTTCAGTTGCAAAAGTTGCGATGGATTTTATTCCTTCTCTAGTACAAGACTCAACAGTTTTGCAAAATACACAGCCTTGCCTTGTGAAACCAGACTTTTAAAATAGTATGAAAAAGAGAAATAGGGAAGAAATTAAAAAAAAAAAAAAAGGACACAAAAAACTGCTGGAAGAAGTAGCAGCAGAAACGCTAGTCTCTTAATCTGTATGTGAGGACTTTGGTAAAGGCGTGAAGAGATTTTTGTGTTATTGGAGTTCCTCTCCTTGAGTTAGTCTGAAGATGTTTATCTCACAGAGGAACACAGAGGTCCTGGAGACAATAAACATGACTGTAAAGTTGAATAAAGTTTAGTTCTTGTAGCCAAGATACTTTCTGTATTACAGATGCCCCAAAGTAGCAAGGAGTAGAATAACCAACATCCTCATTATTTTTCCTGGAAACTAGAACTGACATTCAAAACCAATTTTTGTTTTAGTATTTCTAATAACTTTTTGTTTATCAATTACTATCTTAATGAATCCTTGGGAAGCTTAAGTAGCTTTTCAGCAGGGGCTAATCAATCAATTCACTGTAAATTATTCGTTAAAGATTTTAGAAACTGTTGCACGAAAGGTTGAGTTTTTTACTTTTAGTGTTAGTAAAATGCAAGTTTATAAACAGTACACACAATAACAGTGTCTCAAATGCTTGGTAATCCCCTGGTAACTTTTTGATCTAGTTAATAGTTGCCTTAGGTATAATTCATGATTTTTAGTTTGCTCACATTATTAATTTGAGGGCAACAACTCTCTCAGAGAATGGCTTCCCACGTTACACTCCCATTTCCCTCACATCAGTTGTTGTTATCTGGGATGTGTTGATAAGCAGAGGCTGTGCATGTTCTTCACACCCCACTACCAGTTAGAATTTTCTAAAGGTTTTAACAGTTTAGAATCCAGGATATGAATTTCCTAGAGGAATGACTATACATTTTGCTCTCCCTTGCTTATCCTCTTCTTCTTTTGCATCTATGGATGGTTGCTTCCCAAAGAAGTAGGGAGGCTTCACTCCTAACACCCCTTGCAAAGACTGCTGCCTCTTTTTTGTGCTGCCCAGACTTGCATTTAAAGTTTATCACATAAAATTCTAAGCATGCACCGTTTCTCTAAGGGAATATTCTCATTATTTGGCAAAAAACATGCACCTGATTTTTGTTTAGTCTGTCATCCTGGCCTCATGAATACCGATTTTGTTACTATTCAGTAGTTCTTACTGCATGCATACAGCCATCAGTAGTTACAGTACTTTCCTAGGAACTTGAAGCCACAAGTTCATCCAGAGGCTGAGCACTGTAATACTAGGAAAACATATTATTACCACTCTGCTTTTCATGTCTAGCCAACGTCTGTTTGCCAAACAGGACTCAGCACTGGGAGTCCTGAGTGAACAGGTGTTTCCAAATTATCCATGTGCACACCGTGTGCATAGTGCCTCCTTTTGAGAGGCAGGAGAGTGGTTCAGACTCTGTTCACTAGAAGCCAGAATATTTAAAAGTTGTGTAAAAAGCCCTAGACTCCTAGTTTAAATGCTTTAAATCATAGCAGAGTGGCTACTTTTTTGCAGTGCCTTTTAAAAAGTCTTTTAGTGGCAAAAGTGGTCACTGAAAGCTTGTTACTTTTTAGGCGCTACATTGTCTGAGCTGGGCACATAAAACGGGTGGTGTGAGCATGGTCTTTAATGTCTGTATGTTTTTAATTGAATTAACAGATGCTGAGAGTACTCTATACAGTTGAAAACAACACACTTTTTTTGTTTGTATTTCATCTGAAGCAGATGTGGGTACACAGTTTTTTTAGAAGTGTTTTGTCATGTACATGGTTTAAAATTGTACCACCCCATGTATTGTTTAAAAGAGATGAGTATAACAAGCTCTATAATTGACAAACTCTCCTAAGATATGTTCAATTAAATGTATTTGGCAGGTTATGTTCTCACTGGATTTCCTTTTCTCTCGGAGAAATGCATGACTGTTCCACAACAAATAGAGAAAATAACAAATCTAAAATTAAAACCGGATATCCTGATTAACATTAAGGTAATATCATCTTCAGTAACTTCCTAGTATTTTTCCTAATTATCAGTAGACTCATATGCTATGCATGCCAAATATAGTATTTTACTCTGTATACTTGAGTATAGAATTTATTGAGGAATGATAAATTCTTCTTTTTTATATTGGAATAGAATTTCACTGGTTTGTTCCATTATAAGCATTTGAGATAAATAATGAATATGTCCTCAAATTTCAACAGCAGTTACAGTTTTTCCACCTCCACCAATTAGAAGATACAGGTTTTCAATAAAGGGAAATTTTGAATTGCATGATTATTATGGGATTTTGGACACATGCACATCTGCCTGTTGTGTAATGCAGGAAGAAACTTCTCACATATAGAAGTCAGAAAGTAAATTGTTTTATTTTTCAGTCATTAATTGTGAAACTACTTCATTATTAATTCACGTTGTTTACAAATCTCAGTTTCTTCATGAGCAGTGATGTGACATACCAGATATTTTACAAAAGCAGCTCTGATATAACCAGAGAAGCATAAATCTTTGTTAGTGTGGGATTTAGAAGACTTTCTCAGTGTAACTTAAAAGAACAGACTTGCTTGCTACATCTACATTAGTAAACAAAACAAGTCAAGAGGGACTTTTCAGGCATTGGGCCAGCTGCTTTGGCCAAACATTGCTAAGCTGTTTTGTTAGTCAGAATGGGTGGCAGTGCCCACATTGCCCAGAGAAAGGCCTGAAGCCTGTGCCATTCTCCACATCGTGCCCAGCTGGTCATTGGGGAGGGTTCTAGCTGGCCCACACTGAGCTGTGCCAGACTCCATCCAACTAAATAACTGTATGCATAGTCATGAACACACCTTCAGGCCCTTCCTCTAGCAATGTTTTATTTATAATCAACTAGATTATTTTTGTCTCCTGCTTTGAATGTGCAGAATGAGTTGCTGAGACAGCCCTGAATAGTTGGCCTCAGGGAGTGTGCTCCAGTCTCATTGGGATTTTGATTCTAGTTGGCACATCTATGTGTTTTGTCACATGCTAAGCTTCAGGGTATGGACCTACTCTATCACTTTGCAGATTTAACTCAATGTTTGTTTTAATCCCATACTTTTAAGACTTAATTTGCTTGACCATGCATAATGAAAGCTGGTGAATGCCTACTTCAAATATTTTTTTCTTTGGTCTCAGAAAGATCCTAAAACATCAGTGAAGCATATTTTTGTCCTGCCTTTCAGGCAGATCTGATTTTTTCAGAAAGTCAATCTTTGTTTTAATGTCACGTAGTGAGAAATCTTCATTGCTGAGAATATGTGTTGTACAGATTCATGTGCAACCATACAGATAGAAGAGTGATACTAACTGCACCAGAAAGAAAAATTAAATTCTTAACTTCATGTAGTAGCATCATCTCCCCTGGGAAAAGGACTGAGACTGAATGTACATTAAAAGTCCTTGCCCCGAAGTCAAAGAAATAACATTGCCTTTGATTTCAGTGGATTGAAACTGTTTTCACAGATGTGTTAGAATTGCAACTATTTTCATTAGGTCAAGAATAAAGGAAGAAGGGAGATTCTAGATAGCAGTGACAATAATGAAATACTGCTATTAGTAGACCAATTTAGAGAAATTTTGTCCCTCCAAGAAAAAGATGCTGTAGCAGTACAATAAACATGATTTCCTTTTAATTTTTCCTTGCTAGTGTCCAGATTATGAGTTATGCCAAAGAATTTCAGGACAAAGGCAAAATCCTGATTCAGGGGAGATATATCAGAGGAGCCAGTGGGATCCTGAAGTTATTGACAAGCATAAGAAAGAGAAAGATCAGGATGAAGAAGAGGATGAAGAAGAAGATGAAGACCAGGATGAAGAAGAAGAAGAAGGAGAAGAAGAAGTAAATATTGCTAACTTCTAAACAGTGCAAAATATTACAAAGTACTTTAGACAAAGTGAAAAAAATTCTGGTCTTCTAATATATCACCATACTATGTTATGATTTTATTTTGCTCAAATTTAATCTTAATTCCATTTCTGTCCTGCTTTAAGAGATGTAGGGTAACATTTAAACAGTAGGTTTTAATGATCAAATGTTGATCATTGTATAGCTTAACCTGGACTCAGTCTGACTGAAAAGTCACTGATCTGTTTCTTACCATAAGTTGAAAGTGTATATCAGGAGAAGAGTGGCACTGCCTGTTTCTTGATCTAGACAAATAAGAGAGTTATTCATTTTTGTTTATTGTAGCAACTTTTTACTAGTGTTTGCAGGACACTAACTAGTTTTCTGGTTTTGGCATTACACTACTACCAATTGATTTTTTTTTTTTTTTAATGAAGATCTTAGTTTTGAATTCAAAAGGTCATATTTTTATAATAGGGGCCAGAGACTTATCAATGCAAGTTCTAGGCACATTGCTCTCAATTCATAGAAACTATACTTCATCAGGATAGGATCATGGTCAGAAGTCACTGGACTAATACTCATTGCAATATGCTCCAAAGCTATTTTATTTAAATTAGAGTGAAGACAAAAATAATTTTAATACTTTATTTCTTTGTCTTGAAATTTTATTTTGCAGACTGGAGAAGGTCCACGTAAGAAATTAGAATCTTTTCATCAGTTAGTGCAGAGGCCTGAAGATTTTCTTGAAAATGCAGAGAAAAGAATTGGAATGTACAAGGATATAATGCTTTCTCCTTTAGAAGTAAGAAAAAGCAAAGTAATATGATTATGCATAACAAAAGATTTTTAAAATATCTTGCACTGTTTTCATTGGTTTTTTTTTTCGTTTGAGATTTGCTGTATAGAGGTGGTCATACAACATATGCCAACATATATAAATATACCCGTACAACATATCCCCAAGCTCTGAAATTTATTCTGTAATCAGTGATACAAAGTAGTCATCTGTCGATGTTGTTTCTACTCTGCAGTCAAGATAAAGTAATCAACTTTGACTTTTAAAAGTGAAACCATACCTGCCACCACATGTGCTTTCTAAATCTAGAAGTGAAATATTTGAAGACTCCATTGTTTCATTGCCATTACCACAGTCCATTCCAGAATGCAATCCCATAAGTAATCTGCACCTATTGTCTTCCACTCCAATAAATTCCCTTTCTCAACTGCTTTATTGCCTGCAGATTTATATACACGGTAATTAGCTCATTAGTTTGTTTTACAACTCATTTAATTTCTGAAGCTATGGCATTTTCTTTCCCTGCTGTGTTCAGGAAAGTGGATATCCTGTATATTTCTTCCCCTCCTTCCCCCCACAAAAAAGAAAAAAACCTGAAGACCAGTGGAATAGTTTATTATTTTCGGGTTTGTTTTTTGTTTGTTTGTTTGTTTGTTTTGATTTGATTTGGGGTTTTGGATTTTTTTTGTGTGCTTGCTTTTTTTATTTTTAATCTATTAGTACAAGCAACTGCAAAATCCTCATATTTGATGCTCACTTGACAATTACCGTTTATGCCTTTCAATTTCCCTATGGATTAGTTAAGCCTATAGATAAAATTGTGCAAAAGTGGTATAATGGTCTTTGCTGGAGTAACAAACTTGTTACTGCTGTGAAGGGGAAAACAAAAAATGTGGTATCTTTAATCATTACACAGTCTCACATGGATTTCTTGTAAGTGAGCTAATGGAGAGTTGTTTAGATTAAATTACTTTAGGATGTATACTAAACTTCAACAGTTTCAACACATTCCACTGGTTGGTAGGGTTCACATAGGGTTCACTAGCAATGAATATATTGGTGAAGATGCTCAGTGGTCCACTAATACATTAAAAGAACATAGGGTTTTATCAATTGCCCCAGGCAGAGTTTGAGATGATGAAATTGAAATTGAAACAAAAAGCTTGTAAGACGTGCAGCTTGCACTGATAGGGAGACAGGCAGAACAAACTTGGGAGAGCACACTTTGATTTCTTGATAAATTGTTGGGATTAAAATGGCCTGAAATAATTGTGAAATACTTCAGTGAGGAAGGATATCTATGAACAACTACAACATGTGAAATAATTGTCTAGACCTCCGTACTTCAGACAATCTGCAACCTTCAATCTGTGGGGATTTAGTTAGTTAAAACTGAGTCAATAAATGGGATGCTACTGTTTAAACTCAAACGCTGTGGATGTACTAATAAGACTGTAAGACCATTGTATATAAGAGAAATACAAACTATTATGCTCTCTTTAGAAGAGTATTAGAAAGAATTAATTAGATATTATCTATTTCTACCAAAGGTAGAGCAGATGATTTAATTTACAGTATAGGAGACAGACTAGATGAAATTAACCAGGAAATGGAGCTCTGACCATAAATGCAGTGAAGATCTGGAACTGATTACCAAAAGTTGTAAAGTCACCTTCAATAGGCCTTTGTAGGCTTGAGGTTTGACTAGCATTTGTCAGGAATGGAGTGAGTATTCTCAGTCCTCAGAGAGAGGCATTAACAATGGACCTGGGATGTTTTTTTAGTCTAAGACATTATTTTCTAGTGTGAAAATTTAAAATAAGGAAAATAAAATATATGGTCCAAATTTTAATGGAATTGGGAGTCAGGACCAAAATTAAAATATTGGTCTCATGACTGGCATTTCCAAGAAATGTATTAATTGAGATTGTCATAATTTTCCAGCAAAGAATTAAGGTAGTTAGACAATTAAAAGTTGAATTCATACACAAAATGTTACTATATCTTGATATTTTTTTAGGTCTTGCATTTGAGCTAAAACATCTAAGCTATCTTCTGAACCCATTGTAACTCCAGTTTTGGCATTATCTCTGTATTTATCTGTCATCAAATGAAAGTTAATCTCCAGAAGATTTTATAAGCCATTAATACAATGAATCTTGATTTTGCTGAAGTCCCCAGGGGTCCAACCTTTGATATGTATAGGAAGAGAATGAGCTTTGGTGTCATTATCTGGTTAACTGTACTCAACTGACAGCTATGTTCTTAAACAGGAATTTCTGGCTCACCATGATTGTCGCTATCTTATTGAGGTGGATGGAAGTCAGGAAGCAGATCATGTCTTTGAGGTAAGTAAACTATGCACCAGCTAAGTTAACCTCCACTAGAAAATAATTTCTCAATTCTGGGGATTGTTTTCCCGTTGGCAAAATTTTAAGNTCATTTACTATTAGAAACATGACTTTTGACATACTTGTGTTCCTTCTTCTATTAGTTGTAAGATTCACTGCTCTGCCTCCAGTCTTACATATATGTTACATGAGAGTATTTCCAGGCAAGCTGCAAACTTTTTTATTATGTCCATCTGGTTTCAGTGCTTTTTCTGACCTATATTAACGTAAAATATAATGAGAAATTGAAACGTTTTCCGTATGATATATTTGCAAAACTGGTTTATTTGATGCTTGTGTCTAAAATATATTTTGTATAATGGAATATAATTTTAATTCATTTTGATTTTGTTTTGCAATGTAATGGAAGACCCTTGATTCTTGTAAGAATTCTGCTGAGTGTTTGTATCTAGATTTTTAGCTTGTAACAGAGTAACTTGTTCTTCCTGTTAAAAAACCTAGAACGGTAAATTTTGAAGATAAATAACCTTATCCTCTGCTTCACAAATAAAAAGTTGCTTCATATCAGAACCTAGAGTATGAGGTTGAAAATTAAGTAGGAGATTGTCTTTGGCAAGGTAGGAAATGAACTTTTCCTGCATTTTCTCCTCTGTTTGAAATAAATTGTATTATTATAATTCTGTAAGTTAATTATTTCAGTTTATACTAAACTCTACCAAGAGTGATCCTATGGGAAAAAAATAAAGCAGTAATTTTGCAGCATTAGAATGTACAATTTCCTCATTTATGATCCGTTTGTGAACGTTACAACACAAAATTTATAGTAAGTGCAATCAAGTTATGTTATGATTCCAACCATTTTACCTACAAGGAAGGCAAAAGCCTATAATAAAAGTAGCCCAAACATGACAGAATTTGCTTTTTCATTTCAAGAGTACTTGCATTCAATCAATACTTCAAATAAACTTAATATCATCTGATTCTCATTGGTAGGCATTTGGTTTAAACACCTTAAACTACCCAAAGTTGTATTGCTTCTGAATGTGCATAATCAGATTTCCTAAAGAGATTTGCCTCTTTTTTTCCAATTGGAGCTGATCTGAGTACTTGCACTGCCTTGAAGGAGCCTTCACAGTCTTATCCTTTAGTAGGCTTGGGATTCACAGCATAATGAGGAAATAGGTCTGTGACTTGGCTTTTTGCACTGCCCGTATCTACCAAATAGCTTCTTAAAATCCAGCTCAGTAACTAGCATGAGTCTGAGTTAGAAACTGGGCCTTGGTGTTTACGTAGCTCTTATATAAATCATAAGTTACAGTTTTAAATAGATTTTAGGGGCCCTTCTGAAGACAAAAGCAGTTTTGATTCGTACTAAATCAAGACTTATTTTCTCTTCAGGCAGTGGCAGGCCGACTTGAGTCTATGGATGTTCAAAATGCAGCTCCTATAATCAGACTTCAAAGTGAAGAAGAAGAAGAAACACTGGAGGGAAAGCAAAATGTAGGCGTGCTTTTCTAAAGTGTGATTGACTGTAATAACTAGAATTATTTGTCTTTTCTGCTGTAAGATTATATTATAGCATCTTTGTTTCACAACAATCAGTTTGTTTTATCATGTTGTAAGGGTATTTTGTAAGAATTGACCTTTCAGAAATGAGAATTTAAGGTCATTCTGGGACTGAAATCCACTTTAAAAAGTATGAAAATTTTAAAAATCTGTCTTTCCCAAAGAAAACCCAGGTAATTATTATAATAAAACTTTGAACAAAATGTTTGTTTTAGCAATAGGGGAAAAATTAATTCCTTCCAAGGAAATAAAGAAACTTTAGTCAAAGGGTTACAATCTCAGCAACTGACTCTTAGCTCAGTCTACTCTTTTCCTGAATAAGAAACGACATACTAATCCAAATATAGCAACATTCTGCCTAACTGAAATCACATTTATTCTATTTTCCTGTAATTAATTGGAAACATGACAAGTTAGTGGTGAATTTTGCTGAATCATGACAACTATAATTTGTGTCCCTTCCAAATAAAACTGAAAACCAGAAGTTTTGCACGAATGTCATCACCTGTATTTAGTTGGGATCATCTTTCCTATTTCTTAAACAAAACTTTGAATATATGAATGGAAGTATAATGGGCTTCAGAGAAATACCCCTCCCTTCACTTTTCTGTTTTCTCCGTTCTTAACAAATTCATAAGTGAAAGGCTTTCTGTGTCAGAGATTGTCTGTATTTATTACTTAGTTTGTGTGTTTGTTTTAGTTTGTGTATAAGCTTTTAGTAATCACAGTATTCAGGGCAAAGAGTTCTGCATCTTAACATTATGTACAGAATTGCTTCCCTTTGTGTTGAACCTGCAGCCTTTTAGTGCAGTGTCCTCCAGGATGCAGAAGTCAGTGAATAGTTTGGTTCTCTACATCTACCCTCTAGTAACTCATGATTTCAGACTTCTGTCCTGCTCTTATATAGCTATACTGAAGAATTCCAGTCTGTATAATTTTATTCCTTCTTACACAACAATCTTCTTGTGGGATTGATCAATTATACTACCTTTCTCTGAAACTTAGGCAATTTTGCTGTGTCCTTTCTGAGATTAGGGCAGCTGGAAGCCCATTACAGTAAAGACAGGGGCAATATTTAAACAATTCAAATATAAACCGTTATCATCTGTTCTCTCCATCCTCAGCATTCCTAGCATTTAAGTTGGTTTTCTGACTGCTCTTGGGCATTGAAAAAATGTTTTCACAGAGGGATTTATTTCTGAGTAGTGACAGTCAGTGAAAATTCATAACTTTCTCTGTAAAACTGCTATTTTAATTCCTGCCTTTGTTGGTTTTGAAAGTTTTTCTGCAGTTCTTCAAGCCAGCACTTTTCCATACTATTCTGAATTTAAAGTCACCATGACTTTAGGATTCACTCACTATTCACATTCTAAAAAGGCTACTAAACTTATTCCTATCATATGATATTTCTGCATGCCTAAAATAGGTATTTAATATTGCTATTCCCTGACACAGATCATGGTTATTTTTTCATACTCTTTAGAAGAAATCTTAGCCATTTTCTGTTGCCTTCAATAAATGGCTCTTTACAATTTTCAATTTCTAAAAATAATAAATAAAGCCTACAGGAACTATTTTAAGTACTATTTCTTTTAAATAGACCTGAAAAATGAAGTAATTTCTCTTTAAAATTTTCCTACAATTCTGAAATAAATGCTTTTTTTTTTAATGCTCTAAAAAGCATGATGTGGTTTTCTTTTTAAGTTTGCTTATTTTCCATCAAAAGGTTTAAAAAAAATCTAATAAAACAGCATATCTAGCTTCAGACAAAAATTACACTTGCAATTATTGCTATTTTAATAAACAGGATGAACTTTTCCGGGCTCTGTCATCTTGCAAGCTGATAGCACCCAGGTACCGATGGCGTAGGAGCAGGTGGGGACAAGTGTGTCCCGTGGCTCTAAAAGAAGGGGACATTGTAATGGGAAACCCAGAGTTTGCTGTGAGGTTAGTGGAATTTGAAATTCTTAAGTTTCATATCTATTTTATGAGTTAACTGTCTATATCTGTTAGCTACTCTTCTGTTTGAAGTTTTCTAGGTAAAATGTACGTACTGTCATCTGAAGAGGCATTGAAAAAGTTTGTGTTGAATCCACGGCCTTACCTCTTACCTCCAATGCCAACTTGTCCTTGTAAAGTATTTGTATTTGGTCCTCCATTCTCTGGAAGAACAACTATTTGTAATTTAATTGCACACAATTATAAAGGAAAGGTAGGTTCATAAATGTCTTAGATCAGCTGGGGCTTGGGAATCAGTTAAGCACATTTTTGTCATGTTATTAACATTCAAACTACAAATAGAGGGATTACAGAGGAACGTTGGATTTTAGTGAAATTGATTTTTATAAACGTAGCTATAGATCAAAAATACTTCTAATATACCCTCTTACATTGCAGTTGTCTTAGTATTAGAATATTGTGAATAACTTTTATATCTAAGATAATTAAATATAAATGCAAATTAAAAATAATTTAATTTTCGAAGAAACCACAACCCTGCACTTGAATTACATGTAAATTTTTCTGAAATCTGCAGAGTTTTTCCAGAATCACTTCACTTTATAGAAATTTCATCAGATGCTATATTCGTGTTCTGTGATATTTGTATTTTTTCAAATCATTTCACTAGGTTCTTGATATGGACAAACTCATTCAACAATATAAAGAATCACAAAAAAAACCCAGTGAGGAATTGCAATCAGATGCAGTAGAAAAGGCTATAGCAGCAGTGAAAAATAGATTGGAATCAGAAGAACAATCAGGTGAATAAGCTGTTCCATAGTCTTTGAAGCTGTCTTATTTGCTTTACGTTATTTAATTGAAGCAGTTGCTGTCACTTTGACTTAGAAAAAGTTGCAGAAGTTGTTATGATTGCTATGCTTTAAATATGAACTAAATGAACATGGCAGTGAAGGGAATAGCTCAGTTAAATTTAGTATTTTTTACATATATATATATAAATCCTTTGAATTTGAGTTTTCCTTTGAATAAGAGTTTTCTGAGCTCTGAGCTGAACGAAGAAATTAGTTCTGACTGACACTAGTTGAAAACATTCCGTTCTAATGACTTTCTGACAAGTTAAATCTCTGCAAAAATGAAATATTCAACAAGAAAGCAGCTTGTCAGCTGGACTGATGTGAATCCACAATCTACAGATTTTTCATTTTGGAGCAGCCTTCCAAGAATGCTGTCACAGATGGCACATTCATAACTCGTTCCAGCTCTGGTCACATTTAGACTTTTTAAGCTGCCTAGTTTTCTGCAACTTGACAAATTCAATAAATATATTGAAAAGGTGAAAATAATATTTTAGTATCTTTTAAACAAAGTTCGTGGGTTTTTCCCAAGGAAGTTCAATGGAGGCTTTTCAAAATAATTTCTTTTGAAATGAAAATACTCAATTGAATTAGAATTCTCTTTTTCTAGATAGCTCTAGTTGTGGTTGGACAATTGGGCTATTTTGTCTTATTCATCTAAGCAAGGAATTGTGTTTGACTTCCTCATAGGTAGATCTAACAAAAGGTCAGTGTATTCTTCTAGAGCTGAAAAACTGGTCCTGACAGTGATAAAAAATCATTGGCATTGCAGTAGGAATAATGATGAGCTATGACACCAAAATTGAAACACTTAAAGTGTTACTTCCAGATTCCTGGCTATGTAAATACTTCTGAGGACAGGGATGTGAAATCCTATTAGAATTAATGAGAAATTAATCCTAACTGAAAACTTTAGAGAGCTCAAGCAATTTTATTGCAAAACTGAAGTACAAACAGAGGATATATTTTCCCTTACATAACTTTTTGTACTATAAGATTGTTTCAGAATTTTTGAATAGATAAGGAGATGTTTGGGTTTGAGCCGCATTGAGTTGTTTTTGCATAATGGAAATTATTAATATGCTGCCCCTTTTCTAAGCACTTTGTAACTTGGCAAAAATAACCTGATGAATGTGTACATTTGTGCATGTAAAAAGTGTAAATACAATAATTGAAAAATCTTGATATAAATATGGAAAGTAAATATGGCATTTTTCCCCTAATTATACTCATAGTAGATACTGCAGTTGGCTAAAAGAGTTCTTCACCAAGTTTTATAAAATTGATAACTGTGAGTGTTCCTTAATAACCTTTAAAATAATTACAGTTGTTGTGCCAGCAATTAATAAGAAAATGTGTGTCCAATATGAATGTTTTGCACATCATAGGAAATGCAGGCTACTTTATTGTTTAAAATACATTGCCTTGATCTAAAGTTTGTATTGATTGAATAATTAGTCTGGTCAATCTTTTGATTCAGGAATCAGAGGGAAAGCAAATCAAAGGACATTCTAGCATGCTGTAAGTGCCTGATTGTTTTAGTACAGAAATGTCACTCTGTTCATATTGAAACAATATTTAACTTAGAGATAGAAAATACTATACAGTTAAAAAGGTTGAGTTTTTCATACTGAGAGAGCAAACCAAGATCTTAGTTTATGAGGCACACTCTACATCTACATTCAAAACTGGTGTTTGTTTCTTTCTCAGAGCAATTGTGTACTGCTTAAAATGACTGCTGCGCTGGAGTTATGATTTGATGCTTTGAGTCCTAATTTCTAATTTTTCTGTGAAGTGCATTTAAAAAATCTGTGTTGTTAGGAATACCAGAGATAACTGCAGACCACCCAGAAGTTCAAGTAATGGTAGAAGAAGCCATGACAAGTGCATCAGTCTCTGAAGATATGTCACCACAAATATATGCAGAAGTACTGAAGGGAGCTATTGCAGAGGTGAGACTACACGTACTATGTAGCAAAGTACTTTTTTCCTAGGAGCAACTTGTAACAGTTTATACATTATCCATATATTTTCTTAAATTTTCCATTTGAGAGATCCGTTTCATTTATATCACATAGCACAAAAGCTTACATGGGATTGAGGACACACTGAGGAAGATCATGAAAGACAAACCTATTGAGGACTTTTATTGTCCTTTATATATAATAAAAATGTATGTGTGCATATGTGTATATATATTCAAACACTTATACAGAAATTATTTCTGTGTTGCGAATTACCTGAGCTATAAATTGTTAATGGCTGGAAGATTATCTGAGAGATCACTCTCTGCTTGCTCTATTCTTTTATTTTTAGTCAGTATTAAGGAGGTTAACACCAGATGTAAGACTTTGAAAATAATTGTTTATGAAGATTTATTCAAGAATTTTGAAATATTTTAAATTTGTTCAATGGTATGTAACTATTGTCACTGGAGTGTAAATTCTTTATAGGCAAGCTTAAAGTATCACTATTGCATTAGTCTCTTCTTGTTTGAAATGTCTTTTATTTCATTCAGACATCTAAAATTATAAATGTCTTAGTTTTTATTGACCAATTTTGTATTGTGCAGTCCTTTTTGTACAGCTAACTTAAGCTTCTTTATATTCCTGAATGTGACATTTTCTAACAGCTTATGAAGACGAACAAAGACAGGTTTCCCGGTGCTTCAAAAAGAGGAGGGTGGGTAGTGGATAACTACCCTCTGTCAGCAGACCACTGGTCAGCTTTATCAGAAGAAGGACTTCTACCTGACACTGTTGTCTGTCTGAAGGATACAGAAAAAGATGGTTAGTAAATGCACCCTAATGCAACTTTGAAGAAGAAAACAAATGTTTTCTTTTTTTTTTTCTGTGTTGATATTTGTATATAAAACATGAGAAAAACTAGTAGTTATGTCCCATTTATAAAGCTTCAGGGGTCTAGAGAAAGAATAATCCGGTGAATCAACAAGAGTACCATCATTTCTTACAATTTGGAATAAGGGAATTACACAGATTTTAAAGCAGGAATGCTTTGCTATAACAATAAAGAAGATTGCTCCTATTTTTAACCAATTTTCAATTTTCTCCTATTTACAACCAGCAGGACCAGTAGACTCTTTTAGCATCTAGATTTTTGTATTTGGCTGGCTGGCTGGCCACCACCTTGTGATGTGGCTCTTGGTCAAATTTCTCTGCCTTGGTTTTCCCATTTGCAAAATCAAGTTAGAGGTAGGAAATTTCTCAGCTCAAGAGAAAAGGCAAGGGGGGAAATACTTGTAAGCAGATGGATCTTGTTCTCCATTCTGGGATCAAAAAAACCTTAGTAACTTCCTACCCAGATGGATACAATAGCTTAGTATCCATGAATTCAGCATAAGGGATTTTTACTTCATTCTTTCAAGCCAAAAGGAAGGTTGGCACTAGGCATCAATAACTGAACACATTCATATACTGTTAAAAGTTTGTCTGTCAAATCATGTCTTCATGGATTATATCTGCTTGATTCATACCACACCACAAGTTTAATTGACCTTTGGCAATGTTTTATCATTACCTGTTCATTATCAAAAAGTCTTTCAGTGGCAGAAACTTCCATTGAAGAAAGGCATGATTGATCTATTCACATATAGTTCAAGAAAATTCAGTAGATCCCCAGCATTGTAATCAGTCCCGAGATCTTTTCAAACCCTTTTCCTTGAATATAAAAAATCAACCTGAGAAAATCAAAGTTACACAGTTTACTCAGAATAGATTCTGCATTTCAAAAGCCCCAAACTTTTCAGAAGTGTGTCAACTGATCAGCAAATCATCCTCACAACTCAGGAATAGTACCTAAACTACTTAGTCACAGAGTTTTGTGAACTTTTGTAACTGAAAGTGTCTCAGTGTGCCCAGAGCTCATACACAGACTAAATACTGACTGAGCATTTCTATGAGACAGCTCTAGATCCAGTGTTTGTCAGAAAATCATATTTGCAGAAGCTGTCATTCAAGACTTCATCTCAGACATTTTCAGAAAGAACCTAGGGGCAAATTACATTTCCATGCCTCATCTTTGCCATTCCAAGCTTAATGAAATGATCATGAACCTAGTTTCTGGGACAGAGTGCACTGTCCTTTCATACAACCACAAAAAGCACCTTCTTCCTGTAGCTGGCATATGGCAATGAAATGTCAATACTGTGTGCTAAATAATAAACATCAGCATTCTACCTCTAGTCTGCACTGCAGGGAGAGCACTAAGGTGGGACAGATTCTTTCAGAATTATATTAAATTTCTCTTCACTTCTCAGAATTTATCAAATTAGTGAATTAGTTGGATAGAAGAAAAGGTCATCTCATCATCCCTGTAAGGTTTTAATCTAGATCCAACATTTTTGAAACACATAATTCTTCATGATAACCGTGTTGAAAATTGGTCAGTAACTTCTCCCTTTTTTTAAAAGATTTATTTTGTGACGGGAAGAACTTGGGAATTCGTAGCAGAGGCTTTCAAATTAAGGTCTTTTTAGAGCCTTCCTATTATGTGCTTCCTTCCTGCAATATACATCTCTCTGCCATTTCCCATAGTTCTCAAAACCTAGCTCTGAATTACTTGCTCTAATCTGAACAATTTATTTTATACTCTTGGAGTATAAAAATTTGGCTAAAAATGTAGCTTTTTGCTTATGGATACATTTCCTTGAATTTGGCTATTTTGTTTCACTTTATTCTTTTTATTTGCACAACTGTGTTGACTCTTTACTTGATTCCCATTCATTTCTGTTATTTAAATAATCATGTAGTTCTGAAGCTTAAATTTTCACAGCATTTGAGTCATTACTTTGTAAGCTGTTCTCTGACCTAGTCTAAACTCCTGTAAGTCCACTGATGAAAACGGGTTTCAGCCACACAGCCATATATAAATCTCTTTGTCAAAGTAAATAAATCGGTAGAGTTCCTAGTAGGAACAGCATATTCTTCATTTCTGCCAACCAGCTGTAGTGGTAGAGGTATGTACATTGTTTGTATTTTTATTTGAATGTTTTTCATTTGTTTCTTCATAGCTTTCTTTGTACACTTGCAAATGAAATAAATGTCAGAGTAACACATGATATATGAAAGTATAAGATAAATCATTTCAATTCTGTCTCCCTTTATAGCCTTTATAACCTTCTAATATCCCAGATTCAGTTTTTAGGTGTTTTAAATTGAAAAAAAGCTCTAAAACTGTAGAAATCAACAGCATAATAACATTTCAGTGGTATATATGCTTTTTGTTGACTTTAAAAGAAAGTTGTCAATAATTTATTAAATGGTGTTCCTAACTCAATGACTTCAGTTTTATACAGATGCATTAAAGTCATTACTGTCATGTAATTGTGCTGCAGGAGCCTGTATACTACGCAGAGCATACCTAGCAAGTAGGAATGGAAGTAATTCTACGGTTTTGGAAAGACCAACAGATGAAGCGTTAGAAAATAAAGAAGATGATGCAAGGTAAAATATTCCAAATATCTGAATGTATACAATGAGCACAAGAAGATTCTAGCCTCACTTTGTCTTAAAGGTATCAGTGCATTTATCACACAAATTAACTAAAGCAGTACACTGAGACCAGGTATCATATATAGGAAATAATCCAATATCTGTTGTCTTTGAGGAATATTTATATCAGTACATATGGTGACAGTAAAATCTCTTTCTAAATGCTTTTTTGTTAGGCTTTCATGAGTCCAACCTTTTAATGCAATGAGACAATAATATTTTAGATAATATATATGTTTTCTTTTTACAACCCAAATTATATTTCCACATCTTTACGTTTACTATATCTGCAACTTGCTTTGGTAATATTTGTAAAGGTCTTAAGATAAATAAACTTTTATTTACAGAGAAGAAATGGAAGAAACACTGACATCAGAGGAAGATCAGTCTCCAGCTGGTGCTGAGGAGAAAGGTGAAAGCGTGTATCATTTGACTTCTGATCTAATTATGTGTCTCAATCATTTAGTGGTTTGATTTTCCAGTTTTAATTTCCTTTTTTACATTTAGCATCTAGAAAAACGACTTTTTGTTACTATCTTCACTGATACTGTTATTCATTTCTTTGTGTCATTCCTCATGGATGTTACAGTTGCAACAGTGCCCCTTCTCGGCCAGCTTGTGCTGCTGCTGCTGCTGTGAGGAAATCCTTCCTTGAAAGACGAGCGAGAGCGTCTTTCCCGGCGCATTGCGCTGAGTGAGAGCTCGCTAGGGACTTTGCACTCTGAGCAAAGAGATAGTTTCCATTAAATCAGCCAGCACTGTTGCTGTTTTCAGTAAATCCAAAGGGTGGGACTGTATCTCCTCTTGTAACTTTTCTAAGTGGTTTTTAAACTGTCTTGATACTACTCATAAAAAATCTGTAGCTCTTTAAAAGTTACAAAATGCTGCTGGAACTTAGTCAATAGGTAATGAGAAAATCACAAAATTGTCTGATTTTCTGGTCTTCCTCCGCTAAGTTCAGCCTGAAGTAATGAAAAAGGAATGGAAATCAGTTCAGCATTGGCTCTCTTAACATGTGTTAGGAATTGCTCAATCTGATAACAACACACATTATGAATTGCTGAATCCAGAAGCCCAGTAGAGGTGAGGCTGTTGCAGCTCCATGTCCCTAGGACCATGCAATGAGTCTGAGCATGTATTCCCATTTTCCCTTTCATCCTCTTCTTACTTTATTATCCATGCTAGTTCCTTTCCAATCCACTTTGATCCTTCCTTCTCCTCACCTTTGGTCCTTCTCAGAAAAGCTTCCTAATATTGTAAATCTCCCACAATCCCAAACTGCTTTTCCCTAGGCATCCCCTAATGAATCTCGTGCTCTGTAGTCAGTAATACACCTCAGCCAGAGAGAGCTTCTCGGGCTGACCCATTTCAATTGATTTCACACCCACACACTGTCTTCATCATCATCTTCTAATGGCCCTGAGGGGTGTCAAGTCAAGGTTATATTTGTTGTTATTAAGTTTTGGGGGTTCATCCATCTGTCATTGTTTCCGCCCTCCTTTGTGCTTCTGGAGATTAGTCTTTAACAATGTAACTTAACACCATAAAAATAATGGAATTTCCTATATTACATGAGGTTTCCCGTCTGGTAACAGCATTAATATAACATTTTGAGTAAAGATGTTCTTACTTTGTTGCTTTCTATATTGACAGAACCACATATTTTTTGTTTCCTGTAAAGATCCTACTGTTATATCAGAATTGTGTTATACTTAGTTTCCAGCAAAGAAAATATAATTGTCCTGGGCAGAAGTAAATAATCTGTGAGGAGTGACATTTTGGCAGCAGACCAGCTGTCACAAATAGGCTGGATTTTTGCACCTCAGATTCTGTCAGTTGGATTGAGGTTTAGAGTTAGTTCCAGTTAGTTTCAATGGTTTGAACTTCAATAGTCCAAGAAGCTGCAGGGTTTTACTTCCCTCTTTGCCATCTTTAATCACTGCCTAGTTTCGTAGAGGAATATTTCTGTCTGATTTGGATCTGCTGTCGCAATGAATTACCATGCATAAATATCTGTTTCTGTGTTAAGAACTAGGTTGGGAACTTTAGAGTATTTTCTTTCTCTACTATGCAGTCTCAAAATTTCCTATTCATAGCCTAAATTATCACCCAAGGCCTGGAGATGAAATTAAAAAATGAAGTGCTTGAATTCGCACTTTTTTTTTCTCTCATCTAGGGTCTAGACTGCTATTACTGTCTTTCTTTCAAACATAACATACTTGTTTCAATACAAAATTGTATGGCCAAGCTTAAATTCTGTATGACCAGTAGGTCTCACATACATTTTCTTTCCTGACCTAGTCTGGCATTTATTTTACAGATATATATATATATATATATATATGACAAGGCCTAAGTTGTAAAGGTAATATAAGACAAACTGAATAAGATGATATGCTTTTAATTTTTAATGAGGTAACATTTCACCTACTCTGTGAAAAAAATACTATAGCTTTCTAGGGTTCTCTAAATTGCATGTAAGCTTTTTAAAAACTCCACATTATAACTTTCTATAGTTTCTAGTAAAACACATAGCTCTTCTCCAAAGTGAATGAATCCTATAGTATTAAATAAAAAGGCTTCTACTAAGATACTTTGTCATCTGCGTCTCAAATAACAAAGTTCATGGTAGTTTTGAATATCTGACTACATCAAAACAACATTTATTAATTATAGAAGTAATAATGTCATGTGGTCTTAAGATATCTTCATTCAGAGAAAATCATGTTTTCCTACACCTACATTTTCTTTCTATAATCAAACACTGACTCACCAAAACACTTGAGTCATGCTGCTCTTAGCCTGACATCGTTTTATTTCACATGTAGTGCCACCAGCACATTGACTGCAGCTTTTCTCCCATGTGATATGCCTTTACACCAATATAAATGAATATTCACAGTTCACATGTTCGCAGTTTGTTGGGTTTTTCTAATATATAGCAGTTATAACATAAAAATTGCAGCTGAGAAGAATACTCCACAGTCCAAATCGTGCTCTTTAGGTCTCTCATAAATGGTATCCTATGGGAATGGCTCAAAGCTGCAACAGGAGAGGCTTAGATTTGGCATCAGGAAGTGTTTCTTTATGGAGAAGGTGGTCAAACACCAGAACAGGATTCCTAGAGATGTGATTGATGCTCCAAACCTGACAGCATTTAAGAAACATTTAGGAAATGCCACTAATAACATGCTTTAACTTTTGGTCAGCCCTGAATTGCTCAGTTGATGAGCAGGAGATGATTATTCTATGTCCCTTCCAACTGAAACAGGTCTATTCTATTCTATATAAATAGATGCACATTTTAATAATCACAAAGTTTTAATGGCAGTGGAATATGGAATTGCTTCAGCACTGAACATATTCAAGTTTATAATATTGTCTGTGTTTAAAAGGAGAAGATGGTTCCAGTAATGAGCAAGGTACTTACATGTGTCTTCATGAGAGTAAAAGTAACTGGAGAAGGAAACTTCATGTAAATCAAACATGTATTTAAATGAGTTAAGAAGCTAAGTTCAATGCTGAAATGTCTGCTAAATATCTAGAAATCAATTTATGTGGTAACTCTTGCTTATAATGTCTAGCTGAAAATTATAGCCTCATATTTTTTTCATGTCCTTTGGCACAATTATTCTGAGAGGTTTTTGTCAGGAATTTCTTACTTTACTTAAGCATTTTTGCAGAAGCTTTGCATGAGTATGATTGTATTTATACTAGGAGACAGCTATATCAATTCATGAGACTATATTTCAGCTGTTAATAGAGGAGTTCTCAGCTTCAAGCAGATCTTTGGGTTCACTCCAATCTTCCTGAATTAATACTTGGCATATTCTTTTCCTGCCAAATTTCTGACAGAGATTACTTCCTTTCTATGGCAAACTCTACTGGAGCACACATGCTTATGCATCAGTAGCTCAGGCTGCTGTGTTTGTACAACCCCATCTTCACTGATGTCTCTTCTGCTGCTTTTGCTATTTGGGCAGAAGTTCTTGGCAAAAATAAATTGGTAGCTGGGCTGTTAATTCCAAATGTCACCTCTCATGCTTGTGCTTTCACCGCTGTTAAGATCAGTATTAGTTATAAACTCTTTAATATTGAATCTCAACTCTTTAATATTGATCTCCTATCTCATTACAGATGGTGGAGGGTTGAATCAATACCCTTCTCTTAGGCTTTTATTCTATGTTATTGCGGTTTTATTTTTATCATCATATTAAATTCAGTAAGATACTTGAAACAACAGCAAAAAAGAATTAAACCTGTTCATGTTAGTGCATCTCTTATTTACTCTTTGAAGAGAAATACTTTTTGGAATAAATTGTGATTATAACATATACCTGGCAGATGATGTGTGCTCAGTCCTACAGCCTCTAAATGTATTTCCTTTGTTTTTCTTGACTGACTTGCATCCTGATTTGTATTTTGCCCTACCTTTAACTGGAGGCTTTTCAGTGAGAGAGTTTGGACAAGGACAGTTTATTAAACTAGAGATGAGAGATTGTGAATTACTTGTACTGTAAACTTCAAAGCAGGCTCTAGTGATATTACCTTCAGTTTGCTCAGTCTTTGAGCAAAGCTGCATGATCTTCGAAGCCAGTTTCTGCCATTATTCATACATCAGATGTGATAATTGCATTTTAATACCTGCAATCCCAGCATTTTAGGCAGAGAAATTTCAAAATTTGAAAACCAGAAAGGTTAAGAATAATTTCCTAAATTAAATTGCAAATACCTTCAGTTCTTAAATTCTTTTAGTCTCTCACTCAGATAAATAAAGACTAAGAAATATTGGTGGAGAGCAACTATGCAATGTTTTGCAGAAAAAAGAACATAAGCCTATGATTAGAGCTATCAGTCTTTCTGAAAGCTCTTGTCACTTTCTGAACATAATAAGAGAAAGGACATTCTCTTAATTTACTTCGTTTAAAGTCTGTCCATCTGTCTTCCTTGACCCTATCCAGTACCAGTCTTGTAAATGAAATAGAAACATAAGCTAACAAAAAGCTTATATGACACCTTGGAACAGCTTTCTCTCACTAAGCACTTTGAAGGCAACTCATCTTTTTAGTTTTTAAAATATATATTTTAGCATTTATCTGATAGAATTTTTAGAATATTTTAGAGAACAAACCAGAAATAAATCAAATATAAACAGTTTTATTTTAATATAAAGTTGTTAAGTATACATGTTTTATGCATTAGAAAGAATCAACTTTAGCTGTAAGCTAAAGTTATCTTTCCAAATAAAAAAATCAGTATATACGATATAAGTTTGTTTATTGAGTACATTGCACTGTAACATGCTGAAGATTATTTGGCAGTGTATATTTATAAGTAAGAAATGAGAAGTTTATATAAACAAACTACAGTCTGTTTCAAAAAGACAACTAAAAATATATTCAAATGAAATACAGATCAGTTCCAAGAAATGAAAGTGTCAGTGTTATCGTATATTTTGCCTTTCCATTTATTTTGATAGTTAAGCTCTAATGAAGAAGGCATGCTGGCTTCTGGTGTGCCTGTGTCAGCTTTGGCAGTGTTTCAATGGGGAGAAAATAAGGAGTTTTTCATCTTTTTTGATGTTGCATATGGACTGAGAGAAGAAAAAGTCACAGATAGTTAGATATTCAAGGCTCTCTTCCCCATCAATTCACTTAGTAAATGTGGGGACAGAAAACCTTCAAGGATTGTTTGTCTCTATGGTAACTATACCCAGTAAAAGCACAGAAGATACAGAGCAAAAGAATATGAGAGATTGGCATATAGGCATTACCTACAAAAGCCTAAGATTTAAGGCTGAGGAAGATTGTTTCCTATCACCACTGTGAGGAGGAAATTAAATTAAGAACAGTACTGTTAGGTAGAGGGCCACCTCTTTGAAGAGGAAGTTGTTTGTATTTTTATATCATTTATTTTTAAACCATTGCTATGTTTTAATGTATTTTTTCTTGACTATGATTTTAAATTAAAAAAAAAATCTTCTCACTGTAAACAACCTCTCTGAGCACAGTTATTATAATTTATATCTAATAACAAAGGTACAGCTGCCTTACGTGGTCCCTGAGACAAACTAAATGTCAGGGAGGCAACGTTTTTGTCATAATAAGGTTCAAATACCTGAACCAAAACCAAATGAGGTTTGGGTTGTCTGATTTTTGGTCTGCCTCTTTTCACTGGGAATGTAAATCTCTTTTCTATTATTACTTCTCCCCTCTTTCCAGGGGAAAGTTTCTGCAGTTCACTTAGACTTGGGTAATCTATTTTAAAGTTCTATAAGTATGCAATAATTGCTGCTGGATATGTTTCCTGAAGCAACAAAACCTTCTGGATTGAGATATTCTGTTGGAATTATATATCTAAAATAGCAAAACAAAGCTGGAACACATGCTGGTCCATCCTTTACTAAATATGGCCTATCAGGAGAGGTAACATGAACTGTAAGTGCATCTGAGATAAAGGTCATGTGAACTACTCTATTAAGTGGATTCATTGCCATGTTCAATATTCTGTCTCAAATGATGAGATGATGATGCAAAATATTCATTTAAGTTTCTTGTTCTGTAGATTTCCAAAGTGTCATGACCAACTGAGAGGTTTTTAAAGGGTGAGACTGTAAGATGATCTGTTGAAAACCAGATCCAGCCAGTCCTCATTCCATCTTCCATGTGTTACTGCTGTGAATAGGGCTGTGGTTCACAAGGCAGCACATGTGATTTCTGCAGTGTGACTGCCAGGGATAACATGTGCCAGCTGCACTTAGTGTAACCCAGTTATTAATGTATCCTTTCCTTCTTTTCTTAAAATCTGTGTTCCTAAGGGAGTCATTATTACATATTGCATTAGAGCTGCCCAAATTTAAGCAGGTTTTATCTGGCTAAATCTCTGTCTCATTTGGAATATATCACTGCAAAATGCAACATAATGAATGGTACCATTTGCACGACATCTTTTAATGTACATAAAAAGGTATATTTATGTTTCTATTTAGAATCATGGCAGGAGGCAAAAATGTCATTGCAGGGTATATGTAATGACATGTATAGAATGAATGTCTAGTTAAGTAAAATGCAAATGTTTGTAAGCCTTTTCAAGGGAAAACATTACTTCTAATTCAAGATCAAACTATTTGAAATCTGCAAGATGTTTCTCCTTAATGATATGCCCTTTTGCACTTTGATTTATGTTTAGACTAATCAAATAAGAGGAAGGTTAACCACTAAGGTGTCAGGTCTAATAGTTCTGTTGTTTAAAACTAAATAAAAGGCAGGGGGGGAGATGCCTTAAGTATTGGTTGTTATAAAAGATCACAGAAATACTTGTCAAAATGCTTATTTGTTAATAGTTTTGCATTTACCTTGGCTGTGCAATGGTATTGCTGGAGCAGGGGCTGACAGCCCTGAGGGCTGACAAGGAGTCCTGGGTTGTGGGCAGGTAGGGGGAGCCCCAGGGGCTGGGTGGGGACATGACCTGGGGGTGGCCTCTGGTCCCTGAGCCTGCACATGAATTGCTATAGGGAGCCCAACTTCCTTCAAACCTCAGTTAATCATGTATATAGTTCAGGTAAATGGTGGCATTGAGAGAATAAAAGTTTCAGCCTCAAAAGTAGAAGACTAAAATTATTAAAAGCATCTAAATATTTAGAAATTTAGCATATTTCTAGAAGGCTACACATTGTGACACAGACCCTTAAGATGTAGACATTGCAGTACCCAAAACTCCCATGCTATCTTTACAGTGCCTGATTTCATGTATGGACTAAAGGGTTCTAGAAACTGGCAAGGGACCAACCTTAGTGGGCCATGAAGGAATTTCAAAAGAAGGTGTGTTAGATGTATTCCTCGTTCTGAAGGCACTCACATATCCCAGCTGATACTGGCCCTTTGAGGTGATGCTTTAGTTGGTAGAATATTACACAAAAATTAGGCAACATCTCTACTCTGACCATAAGTTTCGATCTGTTTCCTGCCAAACATTACTGCTACCTAATCACTGAAATCCAGCTACATTATACACTTTTTGCCTTTTGGCTCTATTTTGGAAAATTGAATGTGTCATTTGCAAATTTCTTCAACAGTTGACAAAAGCAGATGGAGAGATACTTGGTTGTGGGAGGAAATGTATTTTCTTAATGAAGAAAATTGTAGGGCAGTCTAACCCTTGATAAGTCAGAAAACTTGTGTGGATGTTTCAAATTGGGACAAACTCAAAATGAATGTTACAATGATGCAATTTGACAGAGTGAGCATTAGCCTGCTTATGCCAGAGTGACCATAAAACATTGGAGTTTTAATGTTTTGAGGTTTTGTATTTTTGAGAAAGTAGTCAAACCTTTTTACATATAAGGCATTACAAAAGACTTTCATTTTCAATAATACCTCTCCTTTGTTCATTTAAGAAGTTACGTAAGGAAGAACAATAGTAATGGTCCTTTTTTATGTAAAACATCAGTAGAAGTTCATAGAAAAAGGCTGAGCGTGTTGTTACTTGTGTCAACATCTCTTCTTGCTCTTTCAAACTAAAAACAAGACAGGAACAAGAGAAGGGGAAAATTTTGGTGAAATACAAAATCCTTCCATTCACTGATAAAATTTTTTCTTGTAGCTTCATTTCTGGCAAGAAAAAAAACACAGGCATATGTTGTAAGTCCCAGCAAACTTAAAGTAATATCAGATCATTTAAGTCACTGCTCTCAACTGCTTTTCTGTCTATTAGCTGACATCACTTATTAACAGAGCACAAAAGAAAAATGACGAGAAAAGAAAGACAATCGGACTTGAAAATTATAGAAGTGCAGAGAATGGAAGCAGCAGCAACAACACCACATTGCTGCTGCCAGCGACAAGGTCTTAATGGTGTCATATTGGCACTTGGGTATCATCTTCTAGCTGAGATAGGACTTTGTCTCAGGACTTTCAGGGTCTAACAATGTATGAATGGACAGTAATTACTGAACTGTCTAGTTCCTAACTGGAACCTTTTCTAATGTGTCAATATCAAGTTTTCAATTCCATATCTGTTGTCAATATCAAGTTTTAAATTCAACGTCAGCTGTCAATATCAAGTTCTTAATTCCATCTGTCTTCTTCAGCAAGAAGTTGTGCTGGAAGAAACTAACCCCTTGTTTATTTGCTAACAGAATATAACAACACATTTGGTATGGTTTTGTCATGTTTACAATGTGTAGTACCTGTGACTTTCTGACTTATATTAATGCATCCTTTCACTCCTTAACTTCTGCCTGCTTTCCATGAGACAGTGTTAGGAAATAGGTTCAGACTGATCTTAAACAACAGACACTACAAATTTCTGCAAGTTTCTTAAGAGATTAAAGTATTCTCTCTCTCTTAATTACTAAACAAGTGATTGTATGCAGACATGGCTTCATTAAAACCAGAATTTCCTGTGAGAGTTTCCCAGTTCCAGTATTTACAAAGGGAAGTCATGATAAGATTTTTTTACTTAATTTTCATTTATTTGTTCATTAAAATTTTTCCTCTACTGTCATGAGGCATGATTGTATGAAGAGTCTGTCACAAGCTGTTCATCATTAAATCATAATTTTTAGATTAATGTATTCTGTATTATATTTCTTTTCAGAAAGAGTAATATTTCTTTTGAAATAGTTCAGTAATTTGACCTCATTTATTTTCTTGGAGAAACCTCAGTGTATAGAGTATCAACATAATTAAACTGGGAGTTTACAAAGTGTCTTTGTAAACTACTAATATAATAATTAATAATTATGGGAAGGAAGAAGCATTAAAATGGCACAATATTTGAGCAATATAAAAATAGTCCTAAAGCATAATGATAGTTTTTAACTGTAAAACATCTTAGAGGAGCATTTTACATGATTTGATTTTCAGAAATCATGCAACCTGTGTTTGCAGAGGATGGTATTCCAGATACAGAAGAAATGAGAACAATTAAAACGAAGATTGACCTTTTCATGAATGACTGGAAAAAAGTGAAATCAGAAATCAAGAGCTCATCTCAAGTTCAGGTTGTTCTTTTAGAGATTTCTGAGCAAACACCAGAAAGTCTGCTTAATCAAATCGTGCTGGTTATGGAAAGTAAGTAATACTGTTTATGTGATTGGCACTTAAACTATCAGGAGGGATTTTGGATAGCTCATGTGATAAGCATATTAGGGAGTAGGTTATACTCAGTTTGATACTGCTATATGAAGAGGGTCATACTGTGTTCTCTGGGTCAGCTGAAAAGCACAATAGCAGACTTTCAGATATCTAAGAGCAGGGAAAAGACATATATTTGAAATATATATATTATATGGCTATGCAAATTGGTGTATAATAGCTCCCTAAACATTCTGAAAGCACATTTCCACAGTTACTTATTTTATCTGTGCATGCCAGGATACTGGTTTGAGAAATAGACAAATAGCGAAAGTTCACTAATCTACAATATTCATTGGGTTAGTGAGACTTTCAGGGTGTGTAATAATCCAGCCTAACCACCTGTATAGACTATATTTCAAGATTGAATTCTACATAAATTTTCTAAAACTAATATTTCTTTGGCAAGTTACATTTCTTTTGTGTAGTCTTGCAGAATTTTAAGCATTGGATAAATAATACTATGTTTTTCCTATTATCACTACAAATCAAGTGTTTTATTAACCAAAACATCTATTGTCCTGGCTCTATAATAAACTAAAATTTGAGTGATGATTCCACCCGACAAGTAGCAGGGAAAAAGAAACTTTTGCAAACAGTAATGATACTATCTGCATGTGTTTGTAAAATACTTTTGTAATACACGTTCCCATTGAAAATACCAATTTACTTCTACCAAAAACAACCTGTAGGATTTCTATTTTTGGAGGAGGCAATATACTAAGTTCCACATTTGGGGAGAAAATTTTGTTCTGTGAGTAGAAGAAATTCAAGATACAGTTGGCATTATTTTCTTCCATATATGTGCTTACTTTTATGGACAAAGAGAATATTTTATGGTATAAGGATAACTATTGAAACAAAACAAAAAACCCCTAACCTTTTCAGAACCTTTTAAATATTATGGCTGGGAATTATCTGATGAAGACTTAGAGGAGGAAGCACAAGATCTGGCTGCAGAAGAAGAAAATGAGGAAGAAGAAGAGGAAGAGGAAGGTGAAGAAGAAGAGGAAGGGGAAGAAGAGGAAGAAGTAAGTATGCCAATTTTATCTATTTATGCTCTTATTATAACTCCTTTATTTTCACCTCAGAGAAGTCAGATTTTGCTTGATGCTGATTTTTTTTTGCTCCAGTTGAAGCCTTCTTACAGAATAAATATTAGCATGTGCTTCAAGAACAATTTCACTCCATTTCTATGTTGTGGCCAATAGTAGTTTTACTACAGCAAGAAGTTCAAATGCCCCCATGCTAGTAGAGAGAATGACTGTACCTAGTTTTGCCAGATGGCAAGGAGGGGTTTTATTAAAGAAACAAATGTGAACTTTGATTTCTGTCAGCTAACAATGATTCCATGAGCCATCATGAAAACATCAGAAGATGCAGAGTCCTGTTCCATTTCAGCTATTGATAATTTTCACACCCCCACTTTAATGAAATTAGAGGTCTAGCTTTGCCTTTGTATTTTGGTCCTATATTGGAAGATTCCCGTCCCCAAATTTAACAGTACAGGATATCCATAGACTGTACTAGAGCAGTATTGAATAGATTTTTGAGAAATTAACTTTACTGGATAAGTAATCTGACTTCATAACACCAGCTCATAATGTATTTTCTGAAGAGGTCTACATTTAAACAGAAAATCAGTTTCAAGAACACAGTAGGAAAAGTTTTTATCATAGATACTTCTACCCTAATTTTGGTCCTCAGTGGCTAACAATGATATTAATGATATTTGAATTTAATTATTTTATCAGTAATTCTCTTGGACAGTTTGTTTTCTTACTCAGAATCTTAAGTGTGTCTTTTCAGAGACTTTTTTCAGCATACAAATTGTTTTGAGAATACCATCCTCATTCAATCCTCTGTTAATGTATTTGGCATTATTTAATCTGAACTACTGCATCTAAGTAAATTCCAGAATTTTAAGAGTTCTTTAAAACATTCATATTTTCAGGATGAAGAAACAATTAAGCAAAAGAAAAGGCACATGGGAGACACAAAACACTTTTGTCCAGTCAGTCTGAAAGAGAACTTTGTCCTCTACCCTGGACTCCAGGAACATGCAGCTAAATATAAAGAAAAGATTTATTACTTTTCAACTTCTGAGTACAGAGATAAATTTTTGATGAACCCTGAGGAGTATGTGGCTCACAGTAAACCACTACAAGTGAGAACCTTAAAAATGATTTAAAGCAGATAATAGCAGATTAAAATAACTACTTTACATTCCCATTTAGATTTTTTTATTATGGCTGATTTTTTTCTATGTAATAAGATATTAGGCAAGTCCTTGAAGCAAATAAAACACATGGCTTCCCAAGTGATTTTTAATGTAAACTTGAATTAACATATGAATTAATGATGCAAGTACAGCAGAAAAGAGAGGAAGATTATAAAGGCTTACAATAATCTTAAAATGTGTTTAACAAATGACACGTATTGGGGTTTTGGGGGATTTTTGTAACTTAAAAAACGGTAAAATCATGGAAGTTTTACCAGACTTGTCTAATGAAGTTTCATTTTTACCTGCTGATAGTAGATTTGTTTGGTGTTTCAAGAGAGGAGGTAGTTTAGTTAGAACAACAATAGAAAGTCTGGAAAAAGTAAAATATAAAAGTATATGATTGTTTGTGATGGATTTTTTTATAGTTATATTTTTGAAGTGAAAAGCAGTAGGGGGGTGTGTGCACTGTACACTCCAGAATGTTACAGAATATTCTGTTTTCTTCTGCAGGCTCCTCCTTTACGGGTGTGTTTACTTGGGATTCATGGAGCAGGTAAAAGTACTTGTGCACGACAGATAGCAGACAAATTAGGCATTTTCCATATTCAATTTGAAGAATATCTACAGGAATTGATTTTACCCAAAACTAAAAGGAAAGTTGGGCCCTTTCTTGATGAAGATCATGAAGATGACTATAAAATACCAGAGGAACTGGAAGACTTCTCTCAGACCACAAATAAAACTGAAAAAGAAAAAACTAAACAGGTAATAATAATCTTTTATACATCCAGACACAAAATAACCATTTTCAGGCCAGAATAAGAATTTCCTATAAAATCATAAAAATTGTAAAATTATTTTAAATTAAATGCTTGATGAAATTTGGAAATAATAGTTGTTGACAATGTTTTATAAATATCACAAACATTTTTCAAAACATTTTCAAGATTTATATACAGGTTTTTTCTGAATAGCAGATATAGATGCTAAATACCCAATGGAAGACCAACTGAGGGGAAGAAAAGGTCACAGAATAATTATGGGAAGGCATGGTTTTCTTTAAGTGTTTGTAATATGCAGATTCAGTCAATTGCATGTGTTCCAATTGCACAGGACTTTAAAAGTGTTCCCCAGCTGTGTTCTTTGCACTCTCGTGGAGCAAACAGATAGAATGCCTCTATCTGCCCTTTGGTCTGATCATCCCTCATAAAAAATCAGAAATATTCATCATTAATAACAGACTAAGGGGTAAGCTAGTATTTTTTTAAATGCAATAGGTTTCTTAACCTGGATTTTAGCGTTTCTTTGCCAATTGGCAGCAGTTTCAAACGAGAAAAATAAAATAACTCTTGGGTAGTATAAAATATGCCTTGCAGCTTAGCTAAAAAACTGTTTCAAATAGCTGTATGTTCATGATACTGGTAGAATAATTAATGAATTATAATTTTCAGAAAATTAGTTCTTTTTCTTAATCAGATTAACTACTGGCTTAAAATCCTTATAAGTACTCATTCTAAACCCTATCACTTACAGGATGCAATTTCTCTGAAGAAGAAACTTTTACATAAATTTTTATTGGGGAGAGTATTTTCTTTCATTGGGCAGTGATCTGTTGGAAGAAAAAAATACACAAAGTTCTAATGCAAATGAATTCTTTAGATAGCAATGGTTATGATAAAAGCCTTCATTATGTGGAGAAGTCTCAGTGCATATGAATCTTTCAAAAATGTATATAACAAAACTGATAGTCGACCTCTTGCACAATAGAAATAAGGATTTATCCAACACTCATAGATTAGGAAGAAATAAGTTTCTGCATCACATTTTAAGAAACTTTTTTTAGTGTGTGCTCCTGATACCTGCCAAGTTCCCTCAAGTTATGAGTCACCAAAGTTCTTCAAACACTTCCTACTACAGGATTTAAGGAAGCATGCAGGAGAGGCAGCAGGCTGCAGAAGAGAAGGCATACAGAAATAACACTCAGGCACAGTATTAGGAAGATGAGCACACAATGGAAGTGGAAACTAGAGGGCTCTGAAGGGTTTTAAGAAGAATTTAGGCAGTACAACAGCAGTAAAAGATCTAGAAAATACAAGTCTGACACTGAAACATGGTATTTGCAAGTACAGTCTAATCTGTGGCCTAGAGGACTCTGTATAACAGGAAAGCCTGGGTAAAAATGGTATTACTAAAAAACAGAATAGGATCAAATTTGGGATCACTTATGTAAACTGGACATGTATAGGTCAATGGGGTGCACTTACAGGTGCTGATAGAGCTGCCAAAGGTGCATTCAAGGCCACTCTACTGTCCTGAGAAGTGGTGCAGGTCCCTGATGACTGGAAGGATAGTGTTCTGATGAAATAATACAAGAGCAGGTAATATTGGAAACAAATTCTTCAACACAGATGGAGTACAGCTCAAAATCATGGATGTCAGAACAAAAATCCAGGTTTTCATCAAGCTGGGGAGTCTTTTGAGAAGTCAGTTCACAATTTGGTTATCACAGCCAAAAATATGGCAAGTGTTCCTGGCACTGATGGTTATGGCTGGCTCTCACTCAATTTTATTTCTTTGGCATCAATACATGTCTTACACCAAGGTATTTATGTTAGTATTTTTCTCTTGTCATCTTTATATCTGCTGGGAAATAATCTTCTACGTCAGTGGTTTTTTTCTCATACTTCTTGTAAAGTGCTTCATCTGATGGCTTGACCTAAGCACAGCTCATACAGTTTCAGTTCAGTTTAGAAACCCATTCATTGGTCCCTGTGCAAAACTCTGGAGAATAATTTCCAAGGTTGTAGAGTTTCCAGGCGTTTCTCTGAATATGAATACCACTGGACTGTCTGACTATCCTATTTTTGACTGACCCACCACCACCTTAATTTTATTAAATTCCATTGTATCATTCTCTTTCACTTTGGCACAAGACAGTAGAAGTTTATCTGTCACAGCTTAAGGTTAGCTATAATGTTCAAAGCAAAAACCACTTAAGGCAAACAAAAATATACCATGCAGTCTGGGGAGTTCAGCAAAAAGATACCATCCTGGTTGTTTTAGTGCCACATCATTGACAGGTCTGGGGGGCAACCTTGTCTTTCAAATCACTGCTCTGTGGGATGTTCTCTTTTTTCTACCTGGAATATACATCTCAGGCTTCTTTTCTTTTATTGGATACAAACACCACTCCTACCTCTCTTTAGCAGTGGTAATGTCAGTGATACAATTTTAAATGTGTTCTAATGTTTTCTCCCACTTCACACATATCTTTCAAGATGCGTCTGTGTTGCAAATCTGGCTACCACTTTGTCTACTTAGGCATCTTCTGTCATGAAAACATCTTTTAATATATATACTGTGTCAGGCACTAGAGAAAATGCTACTCATGCATACTACATTAGAGCTGTGACTTCCAGCATATTCTCAAGTTCTTTTGGCTAAATTATCAGAATAGATGTCAGACATAGAAATTCTTATTTGGATATGACCTTCTGATATCAGACATATTTTGATTCTTGATATATGAATTATGTAAAGTAATTCAGAACCACCAACATATATCATCTTTATTTTTTACCACAGTCTGTGTCCGGAAGCTATTCTATGAGAAATGCATCCTCAACCATATCAATCTCACTGAGTTACATATTCTGGAAAAAAAAACCCAACAGTTTTACACAAGAATTTAGAAGTTAGATTTGGTATTTGAATACTCTGTATTTGACTAGTCATTAATACTAATGACTAGTCAAATGTCTAGTGTAATACATAGTCTAGAACATGCTATCTGTCTGGTATCTGTTCTTCTGCCTGTACCAAATAATCTTACATATCTTTCTTCAACATATTTTTGGCATCCATCCAAATCTAATAGTTGCTTTCAAAAAGTGAGAAAACGTTTTGATGCAGGTAGTCTTCCAGCATGGGAAGATGTAGCCAAGTGGAAAACTGCTTGTAGGCAACTAGGAGAAACTGTGCTCATTTCAGTTTCTATTCCTCTGAACTGAGCATATATATAATTAAATACTTAACAGCTGTGCTTGATTTTAGGTTTCATTAAAACTCATACAGCAGCATTTGCCCTAATTTTAGGGAATTGCCTAAAATCTATAATGTAGTATGATGCAATGTAGCAAATGAGTTTATTTCTGCTGGTCTAAGTCAAATGAAGACAGCATCCTACTTAGCCAAAAACAATAAATGTGTCAAGTGGATATGTGCTTTCTGGTTTTGTTTGGTTGGTTGGTTGATTCTGATTTTTGGGGTTTTTTTTCATTTTTGGTGGATTTTCTTTACCTAAAGGAAGTGAAATTGACTGATGAGGAAGAGGCAATCAAAGCAAATCTAGTGGATAATACGGAACTGCCTCCAGGAGTCCTCGATAAGATTGTTCCTGGCTGGTGGAAGGAAGAGCCATTCCGGTAACTGCAATTAGATTCTCTCTTTCTTTAATTAATTTTAGGAAGTATATCATGCATTGTGTCCACAATTGTAAATAACTATCGCAGAGATTATTTCAATGCTCTTGTACTTTTTAGTAGTAGTGACCTACCTGTCAGTCTTGGTTTTCTTGTACTATTTTAATTGACATTTTGACAGTAATATCATGTTTCATGTGCTGCACACAGGATTGGACAAAAGAACTTGGCACACTTGGATTGGATTAAATCTCATAAATAGCTGGGTAGTTTTCATGGTCTTACAGTATAGATATGAAAACAAACCTTTTATATTTTTATATAATTTTTGTCCTGGCTACAGATGGGAGGCAATGGTTCTCTACACAGTGTAAAAACAGGAACATCAGTTTTAGGAAAAAAAGAATGCACCAAGACAAAAAATTACCCAGCATTATGCATAATGCTGTAAAATTATACTGTATTAGATTATATTGTACTGTATTATATCACATCACAATACATTACACTACCAAACTGTACTATGTTGTACTCTTCTTCCCCACCAGGGCTACCTGTTCTTCCCTCCACTTCCACTTCTTCTAGCTTCTTTGGTTTTCTGCAACTTTACAATGTATCCTATTAAAGTCTAAAGTAATAGATATAAATATTGGCTTCTTATCAACACAACATTCATCTTTACATAACTACTCATCTAAAATGAAATTGTAAGAGAGCTTTCCAGGTATAACTGACTTGTTCTTAACATCTGCAGGAAGAGAAATATAACTCGTGCTGAATGGCAGATTTCTCATCCTGTACTACAGAAGAAACATAAATTTTCAGGCACAAGCTTTCTTTGAGAGTTGTTACCAGAAAAGTATTTCAGGTGGCACCTTATAGTTTTTGAGACCACTGCCTAAGAAGTATTGTTTTTTAGAGTCACACAAGCAAGTCTGAGAAGACAATTAATTTTGGTTTCTTTAAGTTCTTTAAAAATATTTAAGCATTGCACATTAAAACCTCAAAAGAAATTAATTTGTAAGTATACTAATTAAAATACACAGAGAAATATCAGTTTTACATTGTCAAAAGATACTAGCTGAAAGTATTTTTAAAATTTTACTCCTAACATATGCGTTTAATATGGGAGGATTTGTAGTGGTTTTTTTCAAAATAATTATATGTTCACTGTGTTGCACTTTAAACTACACTGAGTAATGATAAATATCTTATTTTCCAATTAGGTCCACAGGCTTTATACTGGATGGCTTCCCTCGTACTGTAGATGAAGCCAGATATTTGTCAGACCGAGGACTCTGTCCTGATGTTGCAGTTTATATTGAAGTAGAGGAAGATGACATTCTTGTCCGTCTTCTTCCTCCACGTCTGAAAAAATGGAAAGACAGACGGCGTAGAAAAAAGGAATATAAAAAGAAATTGAAGGAACTAAAAGCAAAATCAAGGGTAAGTTTTTAAGAGTAAGTAAACCCTATGGCATTTTTGTTGTTTCTACAGGAGAGGTCTGAACACAGTTTCTGAAACTCCCAAAGCTGTGAAGAGCACACAGAGTAATAGATATTGTAGCCAGGAGACACAGTCCTACACATGCACAGCATTCCTAGGCTTACTATAGAAACAAAAAATAATTTAGGGCTACTTTCCTCTTCTATGCAATTAATGCATGTAGGAGTTTGGGCATCTCACAGCCCAAGAAAAGTAGCTGTGCTGCCAGATAAATGGCAGTCCTGGAAAGTGTGGGAAAAAAGGCAAGTTGATGGAGGGTGTGAATATGGTCATAAAATCAAATAGACAGTTCATGCACTGTAGTATTGTTGCATCCCAGATTCCCTGAGCATGTGCTGTTGGGGTGATCAGCAGAGTGTGTCTGTGTTCCCAGCTCTTATACTCTGCACAGGAATGTAGTAACTCTAAGCCACATTCTCAGTGCTGTTGCAGCTGCTCTGTGTGCCATTCAGATGAAGCTGTGCCTACTATTGAACAGATTAAAAATTGGTTGAGGTAACCTGAAGCTTCTGTGCAGACATTTACATTTGGCACATGTAATACATTTAAGGTTCCTCACTTTCCATAAAAATGAGACAAGGTACTTCACATGTAATATCAGGAAAGGTCTGAGCATAATTACTACAGAGCAGCTGACACACAGGAAATTAGGACAATGGAATTTGGGACAAGAGTCATACAATAACATTAATAACCCTAAACAGTCAAAGGGAACACCATACATTTACTACCATATTCAGTCACCCCTTTGCCAAATGGCAGAAACCACCTATAAATTTAGAAACTCTAGTTTTTAGTAGTTTACCAATAAACCTATTACTATATTTTTAGTGTGATAAAAATCACAGTCTTTTTTTTTCCTCCAATCTCAATCTCAGAAATTGCCAAATTAGTTTTTCTAAAATATACTTACATGTTTGCCTAGTAGACTGGTATATCTGGTCTGCAACATTTCAAACTCTAGGTAGTATTTTTTTAACATTAGAATGAACTGGAACAGAATTTTAAGGTGTTAATTGTAGATTACATTCCCAATTTTCAGAGAGGAGCTTTTATTAGTCTTTTTACATCTTTTTTTCACTAACAGAATGAGAAGATTGCCAGAAGAAGGGAAGAACTTTTAGCAGAGCAACAAAAAAAGAAGCAGGAGGTAAGAAAACAACCTAATAAGATAGTTTTTAAATAGAAGCGTTTGCATTCATACCATAGAAATTTCTAGAGCTTTTCGTCATAGACTTCAGGTCAATGTAGAACAGTAACATTATGGTATACAGTGAGAAACTTTGACTTTCAAAGCTAATTTTATATTATGTTTAAATTTCTTTAGAAACTGTGGATTCATGAAGACTAAAAAGTATTTTAAAAGAATTCTCCATATGTGCTTCAATTCAGGAAAATACTTATGAATGTATTTAATATATCTAATTTGTAAGCATAGGAGTAGCCTCACTAATTGAAATTAGGCATGTGCCTTTAAGTACACTGTCAAATCCATGATTAATCCAGAATAGAATTGTACCAGGATTTCTGCCTAAAGTCAATGACATAATATATTTATAAATGCATTCATGTACTACTTGACTGCTCATGATATTCTGTCAGCTACACTTGCACCAGACATGTTTGTTTATAACGAAGTCCTGTCAAACTACAATACCATGTATGAAAAAACACTCCTCTTATTAAAACTGCAGTGTAGCTCTCCTGGTTTTTTAAGTACTCTTGGAACTGATATGATGCTTCACTGTATGCACTATGCAATACTGCTGTATTTTCTCCTGAAATAAGATTCTAGAATTTACTAGATTTTTGCATATGATAAAGGATATCCCAAAATGAGGTTTTGTTGAATTATTGGCTTTTTAAATTTGAAAATATACAAGAATACTATATGTTCCTTCAAAATATCTGTATCATAGATATGAAATAACAAAATATTTTGTCTTTATAGGCTTTAGCAAATAAGGATAATGATGAAGCTACTGAGGAGGACGAGGAAGATGAAGATATTGAAGCTATACTTGCAGAAGAGTTTTTAGAAGAAGAAGAAGAAGAACCAGAAGAGGAAGAAAATGAAGAAAATGCTGTTGAGCGCATGGAAAATGAAATTTCAGGGAAGTTTGAATCAGAAGTAGAAAGGTTACAAGTTGTTCAGGTACTGATACCACTGCTTATTTTGTTAAATTATATGATCGCATGAAGAAGAATTTCCATATTTATTTTTTACATTTAAAAATTACAGTGCCTAAATAACCATGCTCCTGTACTCATGATCTAGGTATGTGAACAAGATGAAGACTGTACTGAGAAGGTATAGACTTTAAAGAGTATATAATTTATATGATGAATATAGTAGAGAAAAAAAAAAGAAAATTTTGGGTAGACATATCCAGTCTTGGTGTCATTTCATTTTTGATAGGTCAGTTGACACAGGCAACCAACCTGGAGAGTTGTGAATGTATGAACAATATTTCAAAATAATTTTTGAGGCAAAATTGTCACTAGACAGCTCTGTTTTTAAATGCAGTTCCTAGTTGTTGGTGATGAAACCAAATGTAAAGAAAAAATCCAAATCTAATCTCGGTTAAGATGCCAGGTGTTTGGCACCATTCCCACACCTAGTGACATAATTTTCTTGAAATCAGTGCAATTGCCTATGGCGAGGTAACCTCATCTAACACCAGGTATCTGCAGTGCTAAGGCCACATCTAAGGCAGTAGGTAGATCGGTAACATTTGCGTATTATCTACTAAGTATCTCACCTCAGAAATAAACTAATCATGATTTAAAAGAAGTTCTATCCACTGACCAGAGAGGTTTACAAATCCAGATAATAATACAATATTGTAGCAGTGTGACACCAAATACAGAAGTTTAAACTCAGTGGGCAGGAAGACCAATTCCCATCAAACTTTGCTGATTTTTGTTACCTGAGAACATGCTTAAGAAATCCTTGATAGTTCACAGAAAATCTTGCCGTCAGTCTCTATTAAAAATCTGATTGCATTTATGATTCTAATATTTAATTATGTTTTCATAACCAGGAAGAACTTGAAAGGTTTTTAATACCACTAGTTGAGATCAATGGAGGTCGGAAGCCTCGCGTTGTGTGCTACCAAATATACAGCAAGCTGAAATCTCTAGTGGAGAACCGGAGGAGCATTTTTGAGAAATGTTACCCAATAAGTTTGCCACTTGCACAGAAGATGCTAGTTTTCTCATATAAATTACTAAGTTCTTTTGGTCAGTGGGATCCAGTCAAGGTAATGTTCTTAAATGGCTGAAGAATATTTTCAAGAGTTGACACTTTTTAAAAATGTATTTCACATTAACAAGATGTTATCAGACAGTAGCAACTAATACCAGAAATATTTAATGAAAACCACAGTACTGAATCAAAATTACACCACTGAATATACACAAACTACAGCAAGCATTAATAATAAAAGTTGTTGCTCTTTTCAGTGTTGCAGCTAATTTAAGAGAGGCGTTTAGTAAAATTTGTTACACTACCATTGGTGACATGATTAAAGGTGATATTGAATGAGAAAGAAATGCCTGACTCTTAATGATAACACAAAACACAGGACAACAGAGAAGGTCTTTAAACCTTCAATAGTAGTGAGAACAAACTGAAAGGATTTGGAGTACGAATTTCTAATAAGCCACACACACAACTGCCCACCAAACCTAGTAGTGGCAAAAAATGTTAGATGTACTTAATTCATTAGGAATAATTCTTTCTTGTCAAAATTGAAAAATTCTGAAGAGCAACAAATCTATTTCCATGGTATTTTACTAGAGATCCTGAAAGTTGAGGTCAGAAAGTACTCATCACTATCCTCAAGGTAGGAAATGAAATGTTTGCAGGTAATTATTTTGTTTTAATGCTAGGAACAAAACCAGATTGGATTGTGACTAAATAAAAATTAAAAAGGAAGACTAATTGAAAAAAAAGTCCAATGAACAACATACAGAAAGCATGAAGGCCCTGAAGGAAACATACTTTGGCCTTCATTTTACTGTGCCAATTAATCTAACCTTTTGTATAGCATCATGTTGGGTCTTCACCTGTTCCAGATCACATATGTCTCTCTTTAACTTTAGGATCAGAATCTTCATTCTTTTTCATGGCTGCATCAATTGGCATCTAATAATCTAGGTACATACTAATTAAAGTAGATATGTCTACACTTAGGTCATTTCCAACTACTGAACCACAGTTTCTGTGTTTAATTGCAATTAGTCTCTACAACCTAGTCCTTGCATTTTGTTGTATCAGATTTCACTACATTTTTGTATTCCATTTCTCCCCTTCACTTCTTTGTTCTATACAGTGTTTTTTACTAACCAAAAAATACAATTTAGTTAGAAGAAAGAAGTCATAGGAAGCTATTGGCTAAAATAAGAGTGATGTCCTCACAGTGAAAATGTACAAGCTGATAAAAATGAAAGGGAAATAGGATAATTTTGAGGGCATTTTAGGATAATAATAGAAATTATAAAATTGATTACAGACTGGAAGATTTGGAGTAGAGAGGCAGATTGAGTATATGCCAGTTATGTTGAGATTAAATTTGGGCAGGAGGGGAAGTAGTTATGCAACTGATTAGATAAGCAGAGAATAAACATTATGAGCTGAGTGAAGAATGGAAGCAGATATGCAGTAGAATAGACTCATGAAATCCATAAATTGAGGGCAAGCACCCTGAAATGAGTTGGTGCAGGAATCGGAAACTAAGGATATGAGAAGAGTCTGGCAGGACAATGCCACACAGTAGAACAACCCCATCTCTAGCTGTAATAACCAGACCAACCTTACTGACTCCTCCAAAGAATAGTAATAAATTTGTGAGGTATAATTTTCTTTGACAAGAAGCTGACTTGGCACTTCCCTATTTTTTGATATGTATGCATGTAACTACTGGGTTTTTTTCCTTAATGTATTTCAGTTTGCACAATACAGAGTCAGATTTACTGGACTACTTTTCCAAGGTTCTACACTGGAGGAAACAACTTTTTAAAAAATGGTAATTTTCTCCACCTTCCTTTTTTTGTTGAAGAAAAGTCAGTGTTACACATTACTCAGAATTACACTTCTGAGTCCCTTTAAAATAGTAAGGTGAATGCCATCTGGTCTGGGCAATTTTTTTCTACATATAATTTTTCTACATTTTGTTTTAAAACATCTTTTTTTGACACTTTAAGATAGTCATGTTCCTGTTGCAGCCCTTCTTGGAAGAAACTAAGTTTTCCCATAGAAAAGAGTAGTGCAAGGAATTAATCTGGCATTACTTCAATGACTATTTCTGACAGTTGCATCTCTTACATGTCAATGATTCATCAACACTGCAGATTTTTTAGTGGGCTGTCTGATGTGTTTGAAAAGATTTCATCAGCAGTGCATGTATTTTTCCAAGAACTTTTTCAGCTTATCTTGTTGTGGTTTTACACTTGACCATAATGTAAGTATTGATTATCTTTTTACATCTTCATTTGTATATGACTTCTGATGAATACAATATTCTCAGTGTATTTTCTGTTGGCAGGCAGGCAGTTGAGTTTAATTCACTGAGGAATAAAATTATTCTCTTTATCCTTTGAAAATTAAAAAATCGATTATGTTAATCTTCTGACTACACTATCTTGACAGACAAAGTGTTACGGTACCACCTACTGGAAATAGCAAGTATTCTTTCTGTCTTCAATGTTTATTTCACCTTTTTGAATAAGAAGTGTAGGTATAGAAGTTTCTTAGATTTGAGCAAAATATTATGTCCATATGTGTGAATTTCAGGATGCTTTGATGGTTTGTCTCATTCGGTTGGTACTACTCTACCTGTCTATAAAGCCACTTCTCTGGGACAGAGGAAGAAGAAGCTTTGTCAAACCTAATGAACTGATTCTCATTTTGTATATTATACAGTTAAGCCAAGGAGATGTGATCTTTCCAGTAATCCATCGACAATATGTTTATTTCTTTTCAAGTAAAGAAAATAAAGAAACGTTTATGACAAATCCCATCAAATATATTTGTCAG